GCAACGTTCTAATAAAATGATGAGAATGATTATTGTCAGTCATCACCCATTTGCAACCAGACTCTGTACATAAGAGTGCACTTCCCAAAATCTGGGGGCAGGACTATCTAAGATGGGGTCACCACGTACAAAGATTTTGGGAAAACGATATGCTTCGGGGCCTTTCAGAAAACATGAAGCGGCACGGAGCCTTTCCAAACCAAATTAGTGAGGGTCTTCCCCCCCGGCAACCTCAGCCTGCCCTTTGGCGGACCTCAGAGACACGCACTGAGAGGCTGGACCCCACCCCCCCAACTCCCTCCTGCCGCGCAGTGCCTCCGGCCGACGGCGAGCGATCCGGACGCGATCGTGCCCGGTGCGCCTTCCGCCGGACGGCGCAGCGCACCCACCGCTTCCCCCCTTTGACCCCCTCCCCCCCCCGGCGACCGGAAGGCTTGCTCGCGGCGGGCGAGGCTGCCTGCGCCTCGGTGCACGGAGCCAACCGGCTTGGCGCGAGCCCCGCCCCTCGACAGCGCCGCCGCCTCTAGGCGCGTTCAGTTGACTCTGCCGTCCCATCCCGAATCAGGCGCCAACTCGCTCCTCGACATTGTCGTCTTCGGGCGCGCATGCGCCAACCGCGTCGCCGAGATTGCCAAGCCAGGCGACCCGCTCACGCCGCTGCCCAAGGACGCGGGCGCCGCGACGATCGCAAACTTGGACAAGGCCCCGCGCGGCCCAGAGGAGGCCTCGAGTGCGGCCGCCAAGCGCTCGTCACCTTTCCCCGCCGCACGACCGCAGGTTCGCAACTCGAGCGGGCCGAAGCCGACCTCTGCGGCGCCTCGCTCAGCCGCTGCGGCGGGAGGAGGCGAGCCGCCCCGCGAGACGCCCGCGCGGTGCGAGAGTAGGTGCGCGCCAACTTGCAGAAGGTGATGCAGACCTACGCCGCCGTCTTCCGCATCCAAGACAAGCTCGAGACGGGCTGTGCGGAGATCGACAAGGTGTGCAAGGAGATGGAGGAGATCGGCATTTCGGACCGGTCGATGATCTGGAACACGGACCTCGTCGAGACGCTCGAGCTGCAGAACCTCGTCGTCCAGGCCGCGCAGACGATGTACTCGGCCGAGGCGCGCACAGGCGGGGTGCTGCGGGCACGGCGCTCGGCACGCCGATGACCCCTCGCCTCCCGCTGCAGGCGCGCAAGGAGTCGCGCGGCGCACACGCGCGCGACGACTTCGACACGCGCGACGACGAGAATTGGATGAAGTGCGCCCCTCCGGCCGCGCCCTCCGGCCGGCGTCCGTGCGCGCGGCCCCGCCTCAGCTCGCGCCGCCTCCCGCGTCAGGCACACCCTCTCGTGGATGGCCACGCCGGCGGACAAGGTCAAGCTCGACTACCGGCCAGTCCACTACTACACCCTCGACGAGGAGGAGTGCAAAACGGTGCCGCCCGTGGCGCGGGTGTACTGAGGGGCACGCGCGCTCCAGTGCCGGAAAGATGGCGTGCGACGCGATTGGGGAGCGGCGCGCCTGAGCCGGCTACGGCTCACCTGGGCGTGCTTGTGACCTCTTCGTGCCCGGCGCGCCGCCCGGCGCGCCGCCCGTGCGTTGAGTACCAGGAGTAGAAGGGCGGAGACGGGGGTGTGATGTGCGTCTGGAACCTGTCGTCGCGTGGGACGAGAGGGACACGTGGATGCGCAACACTCATGACACTGTCGGGGCGCTTGCGCGCCCGATGGGTATGCGTGCTCGCTGCGTTCCTGCGCTCTCTTGTCCGCCGAATTATATGCATCAACACAGGCCTCGCTTGGCATGAGACCTTACACACACTGCTCACACACCGCGCCCAGAGAGCGCGCAAGGCGCGCGCAACCCGCACATGCCCCTCAGCCTCACCTCGCACGTGCCCCGGTGGCGCCGCGGTGTGTGAAGGGACGAGAGTCGAGACCCACCGAGACAGCAGCCGCCGCGTCGGACCCGATCACGTCCTGACTACCTCTTCCTCAGGACCCCGCCACGTCACTAAAGACTCTCCGGCACAACAACTCGGAGCTGGCTTGACTTGGTTGAAAACTTTGCTGAAGCCCGTGCCACGTCCGCATGCAGCGGCAGCTCCGCGCGCAGCTCGTAGCCAGGCCCACTGATCTGTATGGTCCTGACGGAAAGGTCGACATTCAGCTCACGCATGCCCCTTACACCAGGAAGGTCGACCAGCACAACCGCCTCCCTCCTCTGAAGCTCCCCCCGTACGTTGATCGAGTGCCTCGGTGTCACTGGTTTGGGAGATGCTCCAGTGACGCCTGTTGTCTGGTGTGCCTCAACTGCGGAATCTGCGTCCTGCACCGCCGCCGCCTCCGCTGCAGCGTGTGCAGCGGCAACAGCTTCTGCTGCCGCCCGAGCTGCAGCGGCCGACCTCGCAGCTGCAGCCTCTGCCACATCTCTCGCCTCCGCGGCCCTCGCCAGATCGTCCGTGATGTCGACGATGGAATCGTCTTCAGGTGTAGCGTTGCACGCAGCCTCGGCAGCGGCCGCGGCCTCAGCGGCCGCGGCGGCCTCCACTGCTGCCGCTCTGGCTTCTTTGTTCGCTCTCGCGGCTGCTGCGGCGCTCGTGGCTGTGGCGGCGCTCGCAGCAGCCGCGGCTGCTGCTCGAGCGGCTCCCTCGTTGCCCGTCGGCTTGGCCAAAGGGGCCTCCTGTGCGGCCTCTGCCGATGGTGGTGCAGACTCCTCATGGCCAACGTTGTTGCTGATGGGATTAGCACACGATGGCTCCGGTTCAGGCGCCGTCTCACGCGCCGGCGGCAATGCTTGCTCTCGCGCTTCGGCTTTTGCCTCGTCGGCGACGGGCATCACGGCTACTTGCCGCTTGGGTGCTGTCACGCGGATGGCGGTGACCATGTACCCTCCCGTTGCTGGTGCCAGCTTCACCTGCACTCTCAGACCAGTTGCGTGCTGGCCGAGCTGCCGCCACACCATTTGGCCAGCAGCCCCGAGCTCGAGAGCACTCTTCTCCGTCTCGTACGAGGTGTTGTCACCGCACGACAGGACAGCCCGCGCCGAGCACACGCGAGGCACACGCACCGCCGCGCTGGCAGGGTTGACGACGAAGCGCGTCTGGGCGTTCATCCCCCGCCCAGTCGCGTGAATGGAGAGAGGGCCCACGCCATCCTCTGTCCCTTCGAACTCGATGGTCAGCTCCTGGAGGAGGGGCGGCGTGGCGCGGCAATGTATGAGGTGGTACCCGGCAGGCCCGCCTGGGTCTGGGTCTCGCAGAAAGTGAAGCTGCAGCCGGAGTGCGTGCGCGTCGTAGCCGAGCTGCACCCACTGCTTCTTGCTATCGCCGCAGAGCCCGAGAGGCCCTCTGACCTCCCACGGCTTCCCCTCGCCCGAGTTGAGCGACGCCGAGAGCGAGACGCAACGGTCAGCCGGAAGGAAGACTCGCTTCTGTTCGTTCGAAATGCGGAAGGATTGCTGGGCCTCTCCGAGTTCCGACGCCTCCGATTCAGCGGACAGACGCGCGACTTCCGCGCCGTCAGCGTCGAGAACGGCAACCTCGACAACGTAGACCATGCTGGCGTCAGCACCTCGGCTGCCTTCGGCCAGCACGTCGATGCTGTCGGCGTCGTACAGAGCTGCGAGGCGCTGCGCCGTCGACCGCCGTTCTTCCGCCGTGTCACAGAGCGTCCCCTGCCTCATTTCCTCAGCCACTTCTGACCAGACAATGCCACAGCTGAGCTCCTCGCGCAGCTCGGGCATCGTCTCGAGCAGGTACGCCGGCTTGGAGGAGGCGGCGGACGGCACGTCCATCATGGCAAGTTCATCGAGCGCGCGCTGCAGCTCGGCGAGCAGCGGAAGCTGGTCGACAGTGCCCTCGTGGAGGAAGGCGCGGATGCGCAGCAGCGTTGTCTTCCGGAACGTATTTAGCTCGTACTTGCGCCGCACCTCGGGCTCCGCCATCAGCGCGTAGATGGTGAGCCACACCTGCGCCTCCGACTTGGCCATGCATCGCCGGTCCGCCTCGGAGCAAACCACCCACTGCCCCTGCACGAACCGGCGCAGCGTGCCGTCGTCGCCGCGGTGCTCCCACGGCTTTGCCTCGAGGAGGGGGCACAGAAGCATCATGATGTCGTACGTGTCGAGCAGCCTCGTCGCCACGCCGAGCGGGAGCTTGCCCAGCTGCTCGGCCAGGAAGCGGACGAGGGAGAGCGCATAGAGCGCGGTCGAGAGATCGATCGTCCGGCCCTGCGTCTCGAGGTGGTCGCTCTCCTCCAGCTCCTTCATCAGCACCCGCTTGAGCTCCTCCTTGTCTGCTGGCCGCGCGGGAGGCGGCTTGTACTGAAAAGCGAGCAGCCACACGACCTTGCGGTGGCAGTAGTCGACGAGCTCGGGCAAGACGTCGGCTGCCGCCTCGCACGCCTGCGGGTAGCAGAGGGTGATAGTTGGATCAGATTGGGGTCGGGGTTGGGATCGGAGGGTTCCAGGTGAGGGCAGCCCGCTGCCTGCGGATGATAGAGGGCGGCCTCGAGGAGGTTGGAGAGGACCGCCTCGTGGAAGAGGAGGAGGTACCTGGGAGTGCGGGGCGTACAGGCTGGGGGAGTACGCCTGCGCTCCAACAGCTGCAGCGGGTGGCCTCACCCCTTGACAGAGGCCTCCCTTGCGATAAAGTCGCGGAGAAGCGGGTATGCATTCTGCTTCCAGAGCTCGCAGGCGAGGAGCTCGCGGACGAGGAGCGGCAGCTTCTCGTGCAGCACGAGCGCGTCCACCACGAACTCGTCGCGCGACTGCGACGCGTTGATGTGCGCCTGCATGTTGAGCTGCTGCAGCGCCTCGTGCTGTGCCATCCAGGCCGGGCCGCCCATCTCGGGAAAGCGGAAGGTGCGGAGGCCCTCCACGATGCGGTCAGCTTCGAGGGCGTTGAGAGGTCCGACAGCCGTCTCGGCCTGGGTTCGCCTGTCATCGCGGGCGATGTTCATGGACCCGGGAGAGGGCGAGCGGTTGGAAGGGCACTGTGCTCGAGCGCGCAAGTTCGGCGACACCCCCGTTGGGTTGTCTTTGTAACCGACGCAAACCTACGGCGCGAGGGGTCGGGGACCTCGGGGTCGGCGGGCTATGCACACACATGGGCCGCATGCACATGTGCATGCACATGTGCATGATCTGTTTTTGCTTGGGCGGGTTGCGCCCCCCCCCCCCCCCAAACACACACACACACAAGTGGTCTGGCTGGTGCTTGCAAGCCTGAGTGAGTGAGAATGCTGAATGGCAGCCTGCCTGCCAGGTCATATAGGAAGGACTACTGTCAAAACACGTTAGAGTTGTTTGGTATTGCGAAAAACCTCTCTCTGCTGTCAATATTATTGTTCGTGTGGCCCTCGCAGCGGAGCTGGGAATAGGACCGCCGCGAGCGGCGTGGCGGGGAGCGGTTGAGCATCCCTCCGGAGGCCGCTCTGGCCTCTGCGCGACTGCGCCGGGGAGGCGTTACCTTGTTTGGAGCGCTAGGACGCACATCGCACAAGCGTCCGTCGCCTTTTTAAACTCCGGGGCCCACTCCGCTCAAGATGTGTCATGATCTGGTACTCCGCTCTCAAGCGTCAAGGTCTGTGTGTGTGTGTGTGTGTGTGTGTGTGTGTGTGTGTGTGTTCACTGTGATCTGTGTGTATCGTGTGCATGTGTGCATCAGAGCTAGCAAGTAGCATCACCACGAAGCACGATCGTGCGGCATCTCGGCATGTATCGTATCACGAGACGCCACATCACACACACACTGTGAAATTTTGAAAATACCATTTGTGACACTGTGTGTGACGGCGTACACCACTTTTTTGTGATTTTTTGAAATTAGGGGGAGACGCGATTTCTCTCTCGTGGTAGCTACGCTGCGCGCACACACAGCAATATGAGCGGGACACTCACCGCACGCCCTCGAAGTCGACCAGTACGTGGCTGACTGCGGGCGTGAGCGGTCTTATCTTTACGCCCGCGAGGCGGAGCATGCGGCGCGAGGCGCCCATCATGTCGGTGTCGTGGTACTTGTCCGAGAGGTATGCAACCTACGGAGAAGGGCACAGGGTCTGCCTGGTGTCCGCCCCCATCCCCTCCCTCCGCCCCCACCTCGGAGAGCCGCGACTGGATGATGAGCTTGGCGCACTCGTTGCACGGGAAGAGGGTGACGTAGATCCGCATGCCCTCGAGCGAGGCGGTGTTCTTGTTCATGATGGCATTCATCTCCGCGTGGCACACGTACGGGTACTTTGTGTCGAGCGCGCACGGCCCCACCCGCGCCCAAGGCAGCTGGTCGTCGCCGCAGCCGATGGGGAAGCCGTTGTAGCCGATCCCGACGATCCGCTGCGTCGCCGGGTCGACGATGCACGCGCCGACCTGGCGGTTGGGGTCCTTGGAGCGGAACGAGGACAGGATGGCGATGGAGAGAAAGTAGTCGTCCCACGAAATGTAGTCTGTCCGCTTTGTCTTTGCGTCGGGATCACGCGAGTGGCCGACGGTAGGCATGGCGCTGATACGAGGTCGCTGCTTCTCGGCCGGCGGGGAGGGTCGCATGCACTCGACGAGCGCCGTCCGCGGCGTCGGCACTGAAGCGGCTGCTGGAGTCTGCTGGCCCCGCCTTGACGGCGTCGCCGCTGGCTGAGGTTCGCGCTCGAACTCCTCGCACTCCTCGCAGAGGAGGAGGCCCGCGCCGCGTCGTCTCCTCTCTGAGTAGAGCAGCAGCGCGGCGCAGAGGGCGCCACCGGCGCCAAAGGCGGCGAGGTTGGCGAGGGTGTGCATGGCGAAAAACGACCGGAAAAACTTGGCGCGAAAAAATGAAAAAAAAAACAGGCCGCAGTGGGAAAAGAATTTGCGGAGCGAGTCCTCGCTGCGATGCGTGACTGCGAGCTGAGGGAGGGAGGGAGGGTGTAAGAGGGTGTAGAGTGTAGAGCGCTGTAGAGCTGTAGCTGTAGGAGCGCTGCTGGTAGAGTGTCTAGTGAAGAGCATGTATTGCTGTGGAGCTACACATTGATAACCCATCCGGCGCGGGATCGATAGACGATAGAGTTGGTTGGTTCACAGTGAAATCACTAAGTAAATCGCGACTACAGTCGCTGGAGCCTGTGGACCTTTTTTGCGATCTAGCGGGGCGGATCCTACGCGGATAGTGGGATAGATAGGGGCTATCGCCTATCGGTTGGGTTACTATCGCTATCCCCCGCGGCCGCACTTGCGGCCGCCCCACAGCGCACAGGGGCACAGCGCTCGTCGAACTCGTCTCTTGCGAACACACAGCGAGGTGAGCTCGGACGTCGGAGTGGTCGGCAGGTCGGGCCCGGAGCGAAATAAATAAATAAATAAAAACGGTCAAACTCTGAGACGAGATGTGATTTAGGGACATGTGTCCCCGCCCTGCACGATCTTGGTGTGAGGGATCTTCAATCCGTCCCCTCACCCCTGGTCACTACCCGACACTAGAAGAGCAGCAAGAGTTGGGGCTGCGGCTACGGCTGCGGCTGCGGGAGGGGCTATGGTCGCGGGAGAGCCGCTGCGCCGCGTGGGCGCGCCTACACCGCGCTTGCTCCGCTCGCCACCTCTCGCAAAGGTCCAAAGTCATAGCCATATGCATATCACCTCCTCCGGCAAGTCCTTTTCGCCTATCTCGCCGTCCCTCCATGCCTGGTAGAGCTCGTCGTCATATAGCCATATTGCATCACAGCCTGCTGCACTGCGTCGTGCACAACCCCTGCCACCCTATCCCGCGCCTCAGCGTCGGAAAATTCGAGCTCGGAGTCATAAAGTACCCGGAAGCACAGGCGCAGACGGCTGCGGCGATTTGGCCCGGAGCGAGAGTTGGGAATGGACGTATATAAATATTAAACACGCGGACCCCATCAGCATCACACATCGCGCACAAGTTGAACACGATCGAGAGCTCACACCAGCCTGGGCGGGGCGCCCTCGACGCCCCCCCCCCCAGGAACCGCGCACGCGTCGTCGGCACAGCCCGCGCCCTCCAGCTCTCCACGCTCCGGGGGAAATGGCTCTCTGATCAGGGGAAGGCCTTCCGGTCTCGGCCGGTGCAGTACGGGTGCGAGCACTGCCACGTCTCCTTGACGGCCTCGAACTCGGCGGGGTACTGCAGCGACGCCCAGCCCCGCAGCCAGTCCGAGACGGGCCACGCGAGCGCCTTTGGGTTGAGCGGCGCCTTCTCCCCCTCGCCGCAGCGCCGGCAGCCCCGCTCGTCGGGCGCGCAGCAGGTGCGGTGAGGGGAGGTGCCGATCGCGCCGCGCGCCTCGGCGCGGCAAAACTGCTCGAGCTGGCGGCGCGGCCCGGTGCCGACCTGCACGCCCGCCGCCTTGCGCGTGATTGGGCAAGGGTTGCACCAGTGGCCCCTGCCGAGCGGCTCGATGGCGGAGAGGGGCGGCACGGACGAAGGCGCGTCCGACAGCTCGAGCGCGCCGACCCCGCGCACGTGCAACACCGGCGTGTCGCGCGCGCGGGCGAGCACTGCGGCGAGCCTCCCAAACCCGGTCTTCCCAGGGTGGGAGACGGGCTTCCCTTCGGCGCCGCCGTCCTTGCCACGCCCGTCGGCGGCGCCGTCGGCCGGCGTGCACCCTTGCCCCTCCGCACAGAGGCGCAAGCTGGCGGTGGCCAGAGCCGGGCCGCCGCCCGCGGGCGCAAAGCGCGGGTTCCGGAAGAAACCCGACTCGCGCACCTAGGGTTAGGGTTAGGGTTAGGGTTAGGGTTAGGGTTAGGGTTAGGGTTAGGGTTAGGGTTAGGGTTAGGGTTAGGGCACCTGCACGGCCGAGGACGCGTCTGCGAGGCTGGGAGGCGGCTGGGAGGCGGGGAGATGGCTGGAGGGAGTGGCACCTGCACGGCGGGGAACTTGCCTGCGAGGTCGACGAGTGCCCTCTCCGCCATCCAGTAGTAGAGGGGGCACACGCGAGGCATGTTGACGCGCTGCGAGACTGCCCACCTACCGGGCACGCCCGAGACATGTCGCGGACATGTCCGGGCCGCGAGGAGGTTGCTGAGGCGCGGCGAGGCGGCCCGAAGTAGGCCATCGCGCGGTGGTACCACGCGTAGCAAGGGTACGCCATCGCGGCGTTGCCGCACCGCAGCCGCGGCAGGAGGAGGGTGCGGTTGAGGGCGGCGGCGAGCCGCACGGCTCTCGCGAACTCGGCGAGCTGGAGCTGGATGATCTCAAAGCCGCCTGGGGGGGGGGGGGTGAGGGGCAGCGACGCGCGAGGCGAGCAGAGGAGCGCGAGGCGGCCGTGTAATCGACGGCGGCGGAGCGTGGGGACAGAGACAGTGGGAGACGAGAGGAGCGGAGGCGCGGCGAGGCGGCAAGCCAGTGGGCGAGGCGGCAAGCGAAGGCGACGCGTCACCTTCCGCGAGGAGCTGGGTGCGCGAGGGGAGCGCAGTCGAGTAGGTGAGGAACGTGCGGCTCGGGTCGTAGTACGCGGGCGGGTCGTGCCACACGCCGGCCTCGCGGAAGATGAAGGTCTTGCGCAGCTTGTCCTTGCCTGGCGGAGCGAGTGGGCGCGTGTGAAGGGGGCGGACGAGCTCACTCGGCCGTGCGCGGCGTTGCGCTTGCCGTGGCCGAAGATTGCGTGCAGCGCGTAGGCGAACGATCCGACCGACTCGCGCCGCTCGCGGTGGATGAAGTAAGTGAAGGACGTCGTGAACTGCAGCATGGGCAGCACGCCCATCGCGAGCCTGCCGTTGAAGGTGAGGGCGAGCCGCTTGTCTCTGGGGTGGCGGCGCAGCCCGGCCGCGAGCACGCGCTTGTTGATCGGGTCCTGGTCCCAGGGGGCGAGGCGCGGCCCCGTCTGCACCGACTTGACCCACGCGGCGAGCATGTCGGTCAGGGGCGCCGCCGCGTGGCTGTACATGTAGAGCGTGCCGATGTTGTACGAGATGGAGGACTCGAACGCCGGCTCGAGCCTGCGGGGCGGAAACACCAAGCCGCGGCGTGTGAGCAGTGGCGCACACCTGCGCCTGCGCCTCGCAGGAGGGTGTGAGGGCCGCGAATACAGCGCCCTCCGGCTCCCGTGCGGTTGACTCGTGTCTCGATGGCGATTGCTGGGGCGCAGGGGCGCACGCGCTCTGCATCTAGGGTGCACGAGCTCGAGCGCGAGGGCGCGCCCGCTCGCCTCGCCGCCGCTGCTATTCCCAGCCTGCTCGTTCCACTGGCTCATCCGCTCAATCTCGACGTCCTCGTTCGACCTCGCCCTCGTCCGCTTCGCATCCTTCTGGATCCGCTGCTCGGCGAGCCTCTCGCCGCCCTTGGCCGCCGCGCCGCCGCCCTTGGCCAGCCGCGAGCGGCTGGACGCCTTGCTCGCCTACGGGTGTGCGCACGTCCCTCACCGAAGGGCCTGGTCGAAGAGAGGTCTGGTCGAAGAGAGGTCTGGTCGAAGAGACGCGGAAGACGCGGCTCTCGCGATGCGGATCTCTTCTCGGCTCGCTCGCCTCGGCGCGAGCTGCACCGCCACGAGCCGTGCCGTCGCGATCGGCGGCGGCGGCGCTCAGCCTCCGCGCTGCAGTCCGTGGGCGAGGACTCTGCGGCCGACTCGGACTCGGAGCCGGTGTGTCAGTCTGCTCCGCGCCGGTCCACAGGCGGACGTCGCACTCGCGCGAGGGGGCGGCCGAGGAGCAGCTCTCGGGCAGCCACTCGCCGACCGACTCGACGAGCCGGCGCCGCCTTCCCGCCGCCTCGCCCGCCTGCGCCCACCCCCACGCCTCGCCGCCCCGATCACCGCCTCTGCCGCCGTCCAGGCCGGCTCTGCTGCTGTTGCCGCCGCGCGGCACCGCCGCCGTCACGACCCGCGAGCCCTCTCCGAGTCGTCTGCCGCCGAGCCGTCGCCCGTGCGACCCGCTCCTCTTGCCGCGGCTCGCCGACGGCCTCCCCTCGGGCTGCACGGCGAGCTGCTGCGCCGAGTAGCCGTTGAAGGCGCGGTCGGTGGACAGCAGAAAGTCGACGTGCGGGTGCGCCTGCTTCACGGCGCGAAAGTAGGGGATCGGGTTGTGAAACCAGGCGATGTCCGAATCGGAGAGCAGCACGTCGAGCCCCGAGCGGAGCAGCGGCGCCACCTCGGCCCACCGGCCCGCCTGCCCGTTGATCTTCATCGACGGACCGTCCGCGCAAAAGAGGCCGGCGCCTGCGAGCTTGAACGCCTCCTCTCCTCCGCCCGCGTCGCCACCCGCGCCCTCGCCCCAGCCAACTAGCCGCTCCGAGATGCCGATGAGCGAGCGCAGCCCGAGCGTGTGCAGCTGCCGCGCCCAGTTTAGAGCAAAATCCGCAGCGAGTCGATTGGTGAAGGTGGCGATGAGCACGCCGCCGTTGTTGTGGGCACGCACGAGATCGCCGCTCAGCGCAAGGTGCTGCGGGAGGCTGTGGCAGGCAGGATAGGAGGCGCTTGCGGCCACTGGGCGTGGCATCCGTGCGTTGGGAACGCCGCTGGAATGGGGTGCCTGCAGTGAGTGACACACATACACCCCGGTGCGAGAATGCGCATTTCTTCTCTGCACTATAGCCCTTGAGAAAAAGCTCGCATTATGCAAACCTGTGCCTGTGTCCTAGGAAGTAGACTGAGAGGGGTACTCCCATAGGCAAGAGGAGGTCTGGAGAGGCCCACAGCGGTCAGGAGAGGCCCCAAGAGGGTGCTAGATGAGAGTCAGCAGAGCGCGCCGTCTCGGCGGCTATGGGCAAGTGGGCTGAGAGACAAGAGGGATTTTTCTCTCGAGCGGAAGATGAAGCCCCGACTTCTAATAAATTGTGCCAGGCGTATCCGGGGGCGGACAGCGCGGAACCGATTTTTATTTGGCGCAGACCCCTCCTTCCAGAGTCACCAGAAAATCCCAACGATCCTTGAGCGGAGGCCACCTTGGCCGCTTTTGCGGCCTCTCCGGAGAATCTGGAAGAATGGCTACCATAGCCTAGCATGGCACCCGCGGGCAAAGCTGCCCCCAGGTCCCTAGAGTCCATGGGCATTCCCAAAGGATATTGTCAGCGTGAGGTGAGGGCGCAACGGTGGGGGCTCTCACCAGCCCCTCAAAGTCGGGCCTCTCGGGCGGCGGTCAGAGGGGCGGGCAAGGGCACGTGGGAGAAGGGTCAGTGCGGCCCACAAGGTGTGAGCTACCCCCTCTCCTAGGTGTGACTCTACAGCCCCTGGGGCCCTCTGGGCTGGGCACCATCAGCTTGGGCAGAGGTCCTCGGGGTGGGGAGAGAGGGAGCTCCCCTTTTCAGACCCCCCCAACCGCGCATTAACTCGCACCCCAGTGTACACAAGTGACATTTTTCATCTAGTGACAGCGTTACCTTGTGGCTTGTGCCTTGTCCCAAGTTCGGTGGGTGTGGCCGGCTCTGATTAGTCGGGCCTTTAGACAGCGTCCGTGGACCCGTCACCCTTCCTCTCCTTCAATCAAGCCTCCACCCCGAGTTGAAGACGACAACACGCCTGGTGCACGCTGGCGCGGACAACGACGCGGGCATTTGCCCTCTGCACGGCTGCACGCACAGCAGCCCCTGTGTCCGTCGGCGGTGTGGGATCGAGCGCGGGGTGCTCCGCCGTGCGACCCAACGTGCGCTTTGAGAGGCGTTGCGGCGTCGGCGGCTCAGCGATCCGATCCGCTGGCAGGGACAGGGGCGCTAGGCCCTCGGACTCGAGGGCCTTGTTGCCGCACAGGCTGCAAATTGGTGATGGGAGGCGCCGCTTCTCAATCTCGAGAGCAGCCTCTGCGCTGTTGACCTGCTGCTTCAGTTCCTTCTCTCGCCTCCTCCGCTCCAACCCCAAGTTGATCCGCAGCTCCTCGAGCGCCTCCTCGTGCTCACGCGCTCGCTCCTCCTCCGCTCCGACCTTCTTGGAGAGCTGCTGTTGCAGCGCCGCCTCCCGCTCCTGCGCCGCTTGGCGTTCTGTGGCAGCTAACTCCACCATCCGCGCGAAATTCGCTCCCAGCTGAGAGTTCTTCTCCTCGAGCGCCCTGACGCGCGCGCCGAGCTCGTCAGCCGCTTTGAGCTCGGCGGAGCGCAAGACGTCGCGCTCATTCAGCTCCTTGTTCCGCTCCTTCAGCGCGCGCATTGAGGCGAGGAGTTCGCTCACAACCTTTTCGCCTTGCTCCACCAAGCCCGAAAGGCGCCCAACTTCGAGCGCGCAGTCGCCACCGCCGCACGCACGCTTTGGCGTTAGGACAGCTGCTGTTGCTCTGCGAAAAGAGTTTTGCTGCTGGCCTTTCGCCTCCCTCGAAAAGCGAGTGCCGGTCTGCTGCATGTGCGTGCCTCGCTTGCCCGGGGGTGTGCGGCTTGACGACCCCACTGGGCCGCGAGCGGACGTTTGTCGGTTACACGTTGGCGGCATACACAATGATGACGTCCGCTGCACTCGAGGAGCGCATTGCCACCTACCTCGCCCGCTCCGTCGCGCTCGACTCGGCATCGCTGCGCTTGCAGGTCCGGGAGGCCGTGCGCATCCAATCGCGCGTGCGCCAGCGAGCAGCGGTCCGGACCCGCGAGCGGCGGCGGGTCGAGCGGCAGCGTGAGCTCGAGGAGGAAGCTGAGGACAGAGCTATGATGGAAGTGGTGAGAGGGGACATCACACGAGCTCACGAGAAGGCGAAGGAACAGGCAGAAACACGCGTGCTGGAGACAAGGGCGCGTCTTTCCGCGCGTCGGGCGTCCAAAGAGGATGCCCTGTGGCAGGCTCGGACCTCTGATGAGGCTCTGGTCGAGTCGGCGCTCGCCGCCGCCAATCGTGCTCTCAGCGAACAGGACGCGGCCGCGGCTGAGCTGGCAAAAGCGCAGGCTCAACTTGACCGGGCAAAGGCCGATGCGATGGCGACCAGCGAAAGGCGGCACCTTTCCTTCGGGCAGAAGGAGGCTTCCTCTGAGGAGTCCGCCCATGCGGCGGCGCAAGAGGCCAACGCGCGAGCCGAGCTCGAGCTCGCCAAGGCCGACTACGCAAAGGCAAAGCGCGAGCGTGTAGCAGCCAGCCTGGTTCAAAACCCATCTGCGGTGGCAGCCGCGAGGAAGGCTGCGGACGAGGCGGGGCCCCGAAGAGCCGAGGAGCTCAGGGCGCGGCAAACTGCGGCGGCGGCAGAACGGAAGCGGCTCGGGGAGCTGCGTGCAGAGGCCGATGCGGCTGAGGCGGCTGCCTCTGACGCCGAGAAGGCGCGTGACGAAGAGAGCAGTCAGCTATGGGAGGCGTCAGAGGCCGCTGAGCAGTGCACAAAGGCAGAGCAAGACCAGCAGCAGTCGGCGCATGCAGCAGCCGAGGGGCGGGAAGCGAGTCTGGGCGCGATGCGGGACGAGGCGGCGCGCCTGCGAAGTCAGGAAATCCGCCTCTCAGCGACCGAGCAAGACCTGCGAGGTCGAGCTACTTCCGCCGAGAGGCGGCTGGAGGAGGTGCGCCGCTCTGAAGCCGAGCTCTTGCGCGAGGCTGCCGCCACGGCAGCAGAGCTTCGCGCCGCGGCGGCGGCGTCGAGGCGTGCGGCGGCGGAGGCGTCGAGGGCGTCACGAACTGCCGCCAATCGACAGCGCGATGCCCGCGCCCAAACGGCACAAATGAAGGAGCTGCTGCTGCTGTGTGCAGACGTGGCGGGCGCAGAGAAGCGCACTGCCGGTGCGGCAGCCGATCGCCGGAGCGCATCTGAGGCGAGCCTGCGTCTGGCGCTCGACAATGCCCACCGTGCGACGAGGCTGGGACTACTCGAGGCCAAAGATGCAGCAAACAAAGAGGGCGAGGTGGTCGAGCACGGCAGGGGCGAGGGGCTACGGCACCACATTCCGACGAGACTCCCTTTCCTCTGCGCGACTGTTGAAACCGACTTGTCGGCGCTGTCCCTCTAGGCACGCGGCGCGTGCAGCCGCCCGCGTCGCAGAGCGGTGGATGGCGGACGCCATTGTCCAGCAATGCCGCAAGGAGGCGTTTGCTCTCACTGAGGAGACCCCGCATGAGGCGGATCTTTCCACTGCTCGGCAGTCCGTGACTCACGCCCGCCTTTTGCACCCTAAAGGAGCTCGCGGAGAGGAAGCTGGACGCGCGGCGCTGCTTGCTGCACGATGATCTCGCGTCGAATCCGCTCGGTTCCTCGTCCTCTCACTCACATCACACAGGGGCGGCGGCGAAACGCGAGCGGGCGCTTGCTCGGCTCGAGAGGCGCAGCGAGGCTGCACGGCTCGCGCTGGTGCGCGCAGAGGTCGAGATGCGAGGTGTCGTCGGGGCCGCTGGGTAGTGCTCTTAGTTATGGTCACAAACCAACAGGTCAGGCCACGTCTGAAGACCTAAGAAAAAGCAGAGAGAGAATGCAGGGAGTAAAAGAACTCGACGTACGGCGCGCAAAAAAAGAGACACACTCTAAACACTAAAGTGCTCTACCAAACAAATCACCGTGTAGCGTGTTGCTCTCTCGCTGCCTCGAAAAAGACAACCCAGGGGCCTGTGCCAGGGGAGGTCGGAGGTACTTGCAGGTTTTCTGACGTTTGTAAAATCCTCGCAACCCTGTCAGCAGTGGTCCTCCTCCGCTCTCAGGGGAACGGGAGCGGGGGAGCGCCGATCCCGACCTAGATCCTAGACCTAGTGTTCTTTCGTAAAATTTGTTTCTCCTTGTGAGAGTCGAGAGAGATTTTTAGCAATACCAAACAACTCTAACACTCAGAGTCGTGATTTCTTGTTGCATGTTGGTTTGCCAAACCGGAAACGAATCGGAAACGAATCGGAACCGGAAACGCATACTCGAGTACAGGAAACGAGTGGACACGGACGGACGCCCTATCGAACGCGCAATCGCAGTTCGCCATGGTCAACAAGTTGGGCGGTTGGAGCAAAGAAAAGAAAGAAAAGATGTTTCATTCTTTAAAATTCTTTGTTGTGTGCCAGTCCGCGCCAGTCCGCGCCCTTGTCGTGCCAGTGTGCTGTGAGGCATTCTAAATTCTTTCCTGCTGCTCGCGCTGGCTGTAAAGATGCCCATCAGGCGAGCCGACAGTCACGACCTGGCGCCGGCTGCCGCCTTTCGGAGTCGATACCAGCCTCACAACGCGGCGGGATTCCAGTTTCCAAATCCCCGGGCGATTGCATGGCCGCCACGCAGCGCGATCCTCGGCGCTGCGGGCCTGGTCGAGGAGAAGGCGAGGGTTTCTAAGTCGTCAGAGAGGGCGGGGGATTCCATTCTCCAACGCCGTCAGGAGAAGGCGCGGTCTGTGCTGCGGGCGGTGCAGACGGGGATGCTGCGCCGCCGCTACGGGTGGCCGCCCGCGCTGGTGGAGCGCGATGTCCTCCACGTCCCCCTCGGGCGCAAGGAGCGGGCGCTCCCGCGCCACATTCTCGCCGTCCGAGCCGACCACGCGGCCGCCGGGCGGCGGCCGCGCAAGCCGGCAGCGCCGCGGCCGCTCGCGCAGCTCGTCCAGCCTGCCGCACCGGCGCCGTGGGCTGGCGACGGAGGCGCGGGGTTCGCGGAGGATGCGGCCGGCACGTGCTCGGGCGAGGACGCCGACGCAGCGCCCAGCCTGGTAGTGCTGTGCTGCCGCTGCGGCGTCATGCTCGACGACGAGGACGGCGTGACGATCCGGCCGGCGATCGGCGAGTGCGACATCGAGGGGTGCGACAACTGGGCCTGCGTCCGCTGCTCGGGGGTCAAGGCGGGGTACAGCGGGCGGTGGGAGTGCGGCTGCCCGAACTGCGGCGAGGGCGCCTCCTCAGGCGACCGCGCCGGCTCTCCCGCCTCCCGCCTGGCACCTCGACGAATGGACGAGCAGTGATGCCGTCCTCACCGCGTAGGCTCTCCGGCCTCCCACTCGACCTCGGCCACCGCCTCGACCGCAGGATGGGCCCGTCCCCTGGCCGAGAAAGGTCGTCCGCCCGTCTCACCGCCGGGGGAGGACTGCGCGTCAGGCTTCGCAGACGGAGAGAGGCTGCCGCCGAGCAGGAGGCGGACGCCGGCCGCGAGACTGAGCTGGCGGCAGTGCGATGCGTGCGGGAAGTGGCGGTCGCTGCCGGCGAGCAGTGAAGAGACGTCCTCTCCCGAGGGCCGCTGGTCCTGCGCCACCTTCAGCGGAGCCGGACCAGGGTTGCGCTGCAGCTTGGCACCTGCTCCGCTCCCGCTGTTAGGTACTGCCACCAGAACGCTGCGGCGAGGTACAACTCGTGCGACAAGCCGCAGGAGCGAGACCTAGTGGACAGTCGCCATAGCTACTGGCTAGTCGTGCGTGAGCCACAGCTCGTGTGGCGCGCCGCAGGAACACGGCGCCGCCTCGCGCGCCGCGGCGGCGGGCTTTGCGAGTGCGCTGCCCGACGGGGAGGGGGAGAGGAAAGCGAGAGGCTACAAGCAGGGCGGCAAAGGAGGCGCGTGCAAGGTGGCCAGGCCCCTCCCTCCGCACCTAGCCCCCTCCCTCCGCACCTCCGCTTCCGCCCTCTCCTCCTCTCCTCCTCTCCTCCCCTCCTCCCCTCCTCCCGCCCGCCTCTGGCTCTCCCCCCCCCCACTCCGCCTCCGCCTCCGCCTCCGCCTCCGCCTCCGCCTCCGCCTCCGCCTCTCCCCGTCCTCTCGCCTCCCTCTCTTCCGCCCTCTCCTCGCCCCGCCTCCGTCGCTGCACACGCACGCGAAGCAGCGACGGCCCGACCGGCACACCAAGCCGCCGGCACACCAAGCCCCCTCCCCCACCACGCGCACCTCGCAGACCGAGCGGCCTGGCCACCAGGTCCGCCTCCTCCTGCGCGGCGCCAAGCCCGACGACGCAGCGGCCGCGCGGTCCGCCACGCCCGCCGCTGGCCCACGCGGCGGCAAGCCGGCCGGCAGAGGCGCCCTCTGCAAGCAAGAGCGGGTGCCCGCCGAAGTGGCGGCGGTGGGAGTGCTTGTGGCGGGCACGGCGGCGGCGGCGGCGGCGGCGGCGGCGGCGGTGGTGCGTGGGGGAGGGTCCGCTGGGGCCGCGGCAGAGAGGTCTCCGTGTGAGGCGGCTCGCTGCGTCGCGTAGGACCTCTCGCCTCGCGACAGCTCGGGCAAGCGGTCGCTCGAGGCGCTGCTCACTCCACAAGAGGCGCGATGACCCGAGATGACCCGAGATGACCCGAGATGACCCGAGATGACCCGAGATGACCCGAGATGACCCGAGATGCGCCAAAGTAGTCGGCGGTCACGACCTTGTTTCCCGCGCCCACCGCCCCGTCCCCGCCCTCTCCCTCCCCCGCCAGGTGGCGCACGAGTGCTCGCGGTCGCTGGGGGAGATGCTGGTGCAGCGCTACCGCCGCAGAAAGGCGCCGCGCCGCTGCCCCGTCGGAGCGCGCGCGGTCGCCACCCGTTCTCTTCCCCCCCTCCCTCGCCTCAGGCGGACTCGAGCGAAGCGCGCAAGCTCACGCTCCACTCGATGGCGCGCGCCGCCGCTCTCAGCTCTGATCTCTGGCTAGCTCCTCCCCGTCGCGACATGGACCCCTTTCGGCCCCGTCTTCCCCCCCCCCCTCCCCCCCCCCCCTCCCCCCCCGTGCAGGTGGCTCCCCTGTGGGTGGACCCTGACGCACCGGTCGGCGCAGTGCCCGCCGAGCAGCTCCAAGGCGCGTCGCCCGCTCCACGGCGTGCCGGCGCCGCGAGGTCCCAGCCCGTGCTGCGCCGCCGTAGGCTCCTCCACCGTCGCCTCGCGCGGGTCGCGGAGCGAGCAGCGGCGGCTCGCGAGCTTGCTCGGCACGAGCGGCGGGTCGGTGCGCGCCCTGCCGTCCTCCTCTCCCTGGCATTGCCACCCCTCCCCGCCGCCACCCCGAGCCTTGCTCCACCCGCAGGGCTCCAGCCTCGCCTTCAACGAGCTCGCGGCGCGCGGTGGCGGGGTGTGCTGGATCATCGCTCAGAAGTGGCTGACCGCCGGGCCGCCCGGCCCGTGCAGGCGCGCAAGAAGAAGCTCAAGCTCGCCAAGTCCGCCATCCACTCGTGGGGCCTCTACGCCGCGGAGCACATCGACGCCGAGGTGGGCCGGAGGGGGTTGGGGGGGGCATGCCGGCTGGGGAGCACACCCTCGGCAGGAGAGAGACGCACCGGGGCAGACACGGAGCTCACGGGGAGGGGGGGGCAGGGGGAGAGAGGGGAGGGAGAAGAGAGAGAGAGAGAGAGACGGGGGCCGTGCTTTCGCCAGGACTTTGTGGTCGAGTACATCGGCGAGTACGTGCGCTCTTCGCTCGCGGAGCAGCGAGAGCAAAAGTACCGCAAGTGCGCGGCGCCGGCCCCGTGGCGGCGGCGGGGGGTGGCGCGCACTCCCACCCTCCGCCTCGCGCCGCTCCGCCAGGCTCGGCTACGGCGACGACTACATCTTTCGCGTCGACGCCGAGCAGCTCGTGGACGCGACGTGCAAGGGCGGCGTCGCTCGTTTCGCGAACCACTGCTGCGAGCCAAACTGCTACACGCGCATCATCACCGCCGGAGGCAAGCCGCGCATCGTCCTCTACTCGAAGCGGCCCATCGAGCCCGGCGAGGAGATCACCTACAACTACAACTTTGACATCGACGAGGACCCGACGCTGCGCATCCCGTGCCGCTGCGGCTCGAAGGGGTGCAAGGGCTTCCTGAACTGAGCAGCGCCCCTCGAGCCCGCCTCTCTAATATCATGTAGGAATACCGTACAGTCAAGTCCGTACAGTCAGTGTTACTGAGAAACGCGCCCCACGCCAACGCACTCTGGCACTCTGCGGTGTATGTAGACGGACAGGGTTCCCTTCCTCACCTGTCCGGCACGCGCGCCGCTGAGCGCGCTGTCTCGTCCACTCTGGCCTCTGGGGGGCGGGGCCGCGGGGGGGGGTAAAGCCGTAGCTCCAGGTCCAGCCTCCACGGCGACGCGACCGCGCACGGCGCTTGACCCCAGTCAAGGTTATGAGAGCGGCCATAACAGGTGTCATGGCTGTTATGGCTGGCTGCTCATAACACCCCATAACACACCTCTCATAACACCTCATAACACTCACCTCCATCCGCTGTTATGGCTGTTATGCCCACCCTACCATAACACCTCTTAACACCTCATACACCTCATAACACCTCATAGGACATAGCACTCATAACACCTCCCACTGGTTGTTATGACAGCCAGCATAACAACCTCATAACAGCTGTTATGGACTCGGCCAAAACCGAATTTGACCCCGGTGTCCCACGGATTTTTTCTTCTGGACCGCAGTCTGGAGCCCGTATCCCGGTGTTTCTTCGCTATTTTTTCTTTTGGAGCGCCCGCCCAGCGCCGCGACCGTGCCTCGTTCGCCGCGTTTGATGTAGAGTTTGTTGTGATCTGTGATCTGTGAGGGTCCGCCCGCAGGCGCATTTGTATACCGAGGCGGTGCCCGGTGCCGAACCTGTCGGACCTTGAGACAGCGTTGTAGATCCCTGGGCGAGGGTGATGGCGTCCCCGTCGGGAGGGGCTGTCTGGGGGGGTGCCCTCCCACCGTCACCTCACCAGCGTCCCGGTGAGTACGGCGATCAGAGCTCCCCCGGTCGTCGCGCTAAACCGTAACCCGCCGAGGCGGGCCGGATCCACGCGTTGCCAGACTACCCCGTTGGGAGGTAGGCCGCTCGTCTAGCCAATCAGCCTTAAGCGAGCGGCCTGGCCGTTGGAATGGCCGAGAGTGTCGGCCGGCCGTTCGGTCTCTTCCCCGGGGGGGGCCTCAATGACCTAGTTGCCCGGCCGAGAAGGGGAGGACGACTGTCCCTGACGGCGAACCTCAGTTACGAGCCGCCCTCCCCTTGAGACGCGAGGCCAGTGCACTTGGGGCCAAGCCCCAGCGTACACCGTCCCACACGCCTCACGCGGCCTCTGGCTGGAGCGGGATCGCAAGCGAGTCCCCCAGGCCGGCGCGCGTCTTCCGAGAGAGGAGCCGGAGCGAGGGACATTCTAAGTAAGCCGGCATGCAGGCGCATGCACGGCCGTTCAGAAACTCTCCAGCCGTTGGAATGGCTGCGCTCCCGCCCCTCACCGGGCCGAACGGGTAGTGGGCGTTGGCGCCGAAGAGGGAGGAGTCGCCGAGGGACGGGTAGTCGTCGGTCATGCGGGGGGAGGAGGAGTCGGCGAGCAGCAGGGAGGATAAATGCCTGAGAGGGTGGGGAGGGATGCGTGAGGCGCGAGGTGAGGGGCGTGGGGGCGCGGGGCGTGCGTGGGACGCGAGGCGTGAGGTGCAGGGCGTTGGGCGGGAGGGCGCGGGGCGCTCGAGGTTGGGGCGGGGTGTGTTTTGTGTGTCTGTATGTGTATGTGTATGTGTGTGTGTGTGTGTGTATGTGTGTGTGTGTGTGTGTGTGTGTGTGTTGGTTTGTTTGTGCGAGGGCTGGGCGGGGCAGGGCAGGGCGGCGGCGAGCGGCGAGCGGCGTCGGTGAGATCGGCGACGAAGAGAGGCGATGGTGACGTACACGGCGGCAGTGTTCACGGCAGCAGCGCCGGTGGCGGCCCCGCGCAGCGGCGGCGGCGCCCTGAGTGAGGCAGACTGCCCTGCACAGCCTGCTGGAAACGCTCCCGACGAGCGGCGCGCCATGCGGGCCCGCCGCGGGCGACGCGGGCGGCGAGCCGACACGCGTGTCGCAGGCGTAGACAGCACTGGCGAAGCGAGGCGGCTGGCGCCGGCCCCGGAGGCGGCTGCAGTAAGAGCAGCGAGGCAGAAGTCACTGTCCAAGGCGTACTGAGCAGGCTGCCATCGAGCAGCGCGCCATGCGGGCCTGCCGCCGGCGACGAGATTGGAGAGCCGACAGGCATCGAAGAGGTAGGTACTGAGGAGGGCCATCGCGCCCGAGGCGGTCCGCGCCGGCCCTGCAGGCCGTCACAGAGAGCCTGGCGAGGCTGTACAGAATGCCGAGAGCATACTGAGCAGGCTGCCGTCGAGCGACGAGCCATGCTGGCTCGTCACAGGCGATGAGATCGAGGAGCCGATCGGAGCGTCGCAGAGGCTGCCGACCACTGCCGTTCGCCCTCGGGCCCAGGGGTGGAAGGCAAGCTTCCTGGCGTTTCTGGCGAGCGTCCAGACGTCGCAGAGCATCCGGCAGGCGCGCAGCGACCCAAATTTTTGCTCACCGCACGGCCGTGCGAGCCGTCGGTCGGTGGTGATGGTCGGCGTCGGCGCGCGCCGACCGACGCGGCGGCGGTGGGCGTCATGTGGCGGGCGTCATGTCCAGAGTTTGTTGTAGAGATTTCACGTTGTAGAGCGCCTCTACATCGCTCTACATCGGACTCACATCGTCACGCGCCGGATGTAGAGCTCTACAGCTCTGCAGTGCTCTACAGCTCTATCTACATCTCTACAGCTCTACATCTCTACACGTCCTCTCACCCTGCCTCAGTTTTTTATTTTTTGCATAGCCTTTTCCCAACAGCGACTTTCCGTGCCCTCTTGTCGTGCCAGTGAGCGATGCTAAGATTTCTTTACGGTGTACCTGTGTTAGTGCCAGTGCGCGCCAGTCCCGTAAAAAAAGAAATAAAACAGACAACCCAAGGGAGGGATGGGAGGACGGCACGCCGCCACCACACACAAACAAACAAACAAAATCTCTCTCTCTCTCTCTCTCTCCACACACACACAGGGATTTTAAGAAGAGGGGTGTGGTGCGCTATCCGTCGCCCACCCTTGGGCGTCTGCCTCTTCCTATCTCTCTTCGCAGTCCCTCGCCGCTTCTCGCTGCAACCTTCATGCCATCTCGCGGTCGCTCCTCGTCGTGTTCAGTGTTTTTTATGGGCACTGCTGGCTCCTTGGCCGCGTGCGCGACGGCTCCTGGCTTATGCGAAGCACCCCGATGACGACTAGCTCGGTACGGCCATCGACTGCGAGCACGTTCGAGCTGTCCACAGCCCGCATGTTGCATCCCTCCCTCGCCGGCCAGTGGCAGCCCCTCACCTTCGGAATGAAGTTTTTCCGCGTTGGGCCGATTGAGTGTGCCATCTCATGGCTCCTCTTCCTCTGCCTCTTCCCGCTGCTGCTAATCTGGTACTTCATCGCATTCTGCATGCTCATATGCTGCGGTAAGTCGCGCGCGCTCGCGCTTGGGTGGCAGTACTACACGCTGCTGTGCGTCGGGACGCCGCTGCGCCACTTCTACTTGGCCCAGCTGCTGTTGCGGCCGCAGTTCGTGTTCGTCTGCATGCTGACGTACCCGCCTGTCGCGGACTCGTGGTACACCCTCTCCACCAACCTCGGCGGGAATTATCTGTGGGGCGACTGCCTCAGGCTCACAGACTACGACTCTGTGCGGGCGATGCTCGAGGACCCTGCGCGCGAGCGGAGCCTTGTCGTCGACGCGTTTGTTGGCGAGGTGGGGAAGCTGCTCACGCCCGTGCTGCCTCTCTTCTACTCCACCGGCTCGACGTGGCATGCCGGCTGGCGGCGTGTCTTCCTCTCGCGCATCACCCACCGCGCACCCGTCGTCGAGGCGCTGACTGGGGATGGGCTCCGGCAGCTGGCCCTGCCGATCGTCAGCGAGTGGCTGGATGAGGCGACCCCCTTCAAGCTGGTGGACGGAGGTCTCCCTCTGGAGATGCCCCACCGCCCCATCTTCAAGATCCTGCTGCGGCTGCTGCTCGACGTCCCGCCCGAGAGCCTGCCCGCCGAGCTGCTCGCTGCAGTCGACCGACACGCAGACAACAACGGCGCGACGCAGTGCATCTTGCCCGCGTGGGTGAACTGGACATTCCCGCGCTTCGGGACCAAGAACACGCTGCCCGCGCGCCGTGCGCTCGCAAGCTTCCTCTTCACCGGCTGCAACGCCGCCAAGCCGGAGAGCCTGCTCGGCCTCGCGCTCGACTGGGCGGGGATGGCCAAGGAGGCGGGGCTGGACGGCAGCGGGGACAGCAGCGGGCTCATGATCGAGAGCGTGGTCGACCCTCTACTGCTCGCGGCGCTGGCGGGGACCAAGCTCGCGGTCATGTTCTGCCTCTACTCCATCGAGGGGTGGAGGTGGTCCGAGGAGCACCAGGTCCCCGCCAAGGAGGAGATGCAGCTGCTCTACCGCAAGGACCCGGAGGCGTGGATCCTCGAGGTGCTGCGGCTGTGTGCGCCCGTCGCGGGCACGCACAAGGTGCTGCCAGAGTCGACGCGCCTGCCCTTCCTCCGCGGTAGCCGCGACTTCCCGGCCGGGACGATCGTCACCGCGTCCATCCCCGACGCGCACGTCGACCCGTCCGCCTTCGAGGACCCGATGGCCTTCCGGCCGGGCCGTTGCCCAAAGGACAGGTACCTCATCTGGAACGGCCCCTTTGGCGGCGCCGCGCCGCGCCACTGTCCGGGCGAAAGCATTGCGCTGAAGCTGTGCGAGGTCTTCACCACCGCGTACCTCGACCGCCAGGTGGATAGCCAGGCGTAGTCGCGTAGTGGGGTCTCCACATCAAACATGCCATCAAATCACACAACACTCCGCATCCTCTCTCTCTCGAGCTAGCCTAGCGCGGAGTCTTTTGAGATAGTCCCGCGTTACAAGCCCAGATCATGGGGTTTACATATGCACTTCTCCGATAAAAAACTTTTGACACCGGGACCTGGCGAAGCCATCTCCTGTACATTGACTTTTTGTGTCCGTGCGATCACGAGCCTCCACCTCGCTCCAGCATGTCGCGCCACGCACTACCACCGCCGCCGTCGCGGTCCAGCGCAGCGCCAGCGGTGATGAGGCGCGGGTTGGGAAGCGAGCACTGGTCGCGCGGCGGCGGCGGCGGCATCAAAGCAACGTCCGCGAAGCGGCAACCGCGAACTTGTATCGGCCCAGCGCGTAGCTCGCGGTGACGCCGTGCCTCAAAGGGTTGCCTCGCTCAGCAGTGGCGCGGTCCTCAGGCATGTCCAGGATCTTGCGCGCACTCTCCTTGAGCCGCTTGATCTCCGACTCGGGGTAATCGGCGTTGCATCCGAGGCACCTCATCCAGGTTGCTGTTTTGTTCGAGTTCGTCGTCTCGCACGCGCGGCAAAAGTCCAGAGGAGGCCGCCACAGTGCGGGTCGTTGCTCAGCGCCACGTCATTGATGAGCCGCGCGCGGGCCTTCACGTGCTCCATCACGTCGTCCGGGTCGGGCCGCGCGTACTCGCAATCGCTCCCATCTTCTCGACCTCCCTGCGGTGCGGCGGCAGCTGCCCTGCGGCACTCTCTAGGGAGCGCGACCCCGAGCGCGAGCGCTGCGAGCCGCCACGCTGCGAGCCGTCGCGCTGCGGCGTCGAGCCTCGCGCCGAGGGAGTGGGAGGGTGATCCTCGTCGAGGAACTCCTCGAGGTTAAACCAATCGCCGCTGCCCGCATCGAACAGGTACCGCTGCTCGCGCCGCTCGCCCCAGAAGGCCGTGATGGCGTACTTCCTGACCATGTCCGTGATAACCGTGAGGCCTTCGAACGCAAACGACATGCGGGGCGCCCCCATGGGGGTTCGAATCTGCTCTGGGACGCCGTGCTTGATGGCGCGCTTCATCTGCTGGCCCTTGATGAGCCGCTGCTCGGCACGCTCGCGGGCGTGCTGGCTCGGGTGGAGGGACGAGTAGCTCGGCGACGCGCAACTCGACGCGTCGTCGTCCTTGGATTATGCGTGGGGCGAGGCGGCGCGTCTGGGTTCGCGCGGACGCCGTCGATGGCCTGGTTGAAGCCTTTTGTCCTGTTCACAAAGACCTTCTTCTGCGCTGGCGCCACCAGCAGCGTCGTCTGTGCAAAGGCCTTTGGCAACCGCGCGCCACGAGCGGCGTCGTCCATCCCGACGGCCCACCCGCTAAGCGAGCCGACCTTGAAGGCGACGCGTGGGCTGCTCGCCGTGGCCAGGAAGCCCCGGTCGTGCGGCTCCGACATCTCCCGCTCGGCGACAGAGATGGCCTGGGCGATGGCGTGCTCAGGCAGGGACGCTGCAGCCGGAGCAAGGGCGGAGGTAGTAGTTGTCGGCTTGGCCGCATTTGCCGCAGGACCAGCGCGGGTCGACGTGTCGACGACGATGTCGCCTCCCTTCCCGTCCGCCTCAACCCCACCCGTCGCCATCCTCGGCCCTGCCGTCGCAGCGAGCTCGACGCCGTTCGCGGACGAGAGCTCGATCCGCTCGATTCGGGTGACCCGCAGCTGGCTCGCGTCCTTCAGGCACCACTCCATGTTTTCGAAGCGGGAGGTGAGGGGCGTGCGGCATGCGTCGTACCCTTCGAGCTGCCACTCGTCGTCGTCGCCCCCATCCAAGAGTACTGGAAGGATACGACAGCCGTCACCAGCCCGCCAGCGTCACCGCCGTGCCGCAGGGCATCCTGGGCAAACTTCAGCGCCTTGTCGCGGCGAGCCACATACACACCCCGGCCGAGGCAGCCTTCCTCGGACGGCTGGACCCCTCGGCCTGGATCTTCTGCGCCAAGTCCCACGAGGTTCCGTGGAAGAGCTTGAGCTCGTGGCCCTCGGTCGCTGCGAGCCACTGTTCGGCAGCCCGTCCATCGCCAGCGTCCTGAAGGGCGCCATCGCGCAGCCGACGGCGAAGTAAGCAAGTTGAGGACGGCGGCGCGGCAAGTTCGTTCATACTTAATTAAATGTGGACGAAGAAGAAGCGACTTGGCACCGTGTATCGCTCGCGCAGTCGCGAGATCCTCGCTACCGAGACCGAACTGCTCCTTTATCGATTCGAGCGACTCCATGTCCGGGCGCGGGGATAAGCGCTGGGCGAGAAAAAGGGAGAAGGTCTCTGAAAAGAAAAATTGCCCTTTCGTCCCTCTGTGAGTTTGTGTGAGTAACTTCATACACTGTAAAATGCTAGCATGAGCACGATCCGTCGCAGAGTGCTCTTGCGTTTCGGCGGTAGTGATCTTAGTTAGAGTTGTTTGTGATCTTATCACCCGAGCGATGCCACGTTCGGATCGCTTCTCATCGCAAACCCCGTCAGCAGTCCTCCTCCGGGAATGTACGTAAGAGCTACATACACTCAGCTCTCTCTTTTCTCCCAGTAAGCTAAAAGTACGTACACTCAAAAAAACATACGGCATAAACTGTGTCTGTGAGAACGCACGTACGTCGCATACACGAGAGAGAGAAAGACCCATCCTCGATCGCCGTGCAAAGCTCGCTTCCGAGCTCTCACGCCGCGCGTAGGGCCCTTAGGGGAAGGGCCTAGAGAACACAAACCCCTCTCTCTTTTCTCCCAGTAAGCTAAAAGTACAGTACACGAACGAGAGAGAGAGAGTTTTTCGCTTTTCCTTTTCTCCCAGTAAGCTAAAGACAAAACCAAGTAGACTGCCGAGAAGCCCTGTCCTGGTCCGCTGAAAGACCGGACACTCCGACACTTAGGAAGGGGGGGGGGGACAAGCGTAAAAAGGGACGGAAGCCGAGAGCGCTCGCAAAGAGGACGCGGCGGCGGCCAATGGCCACATCATCAGCATCACCGCCCGCGCCACCGCCCTCTCCCGCCGGCCCGCCGCCTCTGTCTGGCTGCTGACGCAAGGCGATCGTCGATGTTTTCTCGCACAGAGGCGTGCGATCGAAGCCGAGGCTCATGTTGCGGAGGCCGAGCCGCTGCTCCCTGACGAGTTTGGCGAGCAACTTCGGCCGATTGTCATGCAGTTCCGGGGGAGTTCATTCTCGCGCAGGCCACAAACATCCCCGAGGCTGGTAAAGCCGGGCTCGACTTTGAGCTCGTGGTGCGTGCGCGGGACAAGTTCGGCAACATCGACGACACGTTTGAGCAGGCGGTGTCGCTCAACCACGACGGGCTGCCGCCCGGCCACGAGCTGATCCTCGAGGGCGAGGGCGTGGTCGAGGGGCGAGTCGAGCTCAAGCGGGGGAGAGGACGGGTCAGGGCGGTGCGCAAGTTGCCCCCCAGGACGGCTTCGCCGGGCTAGCCGCCTTCGTCCCAGAGAACTGGCTAACAACCATCTTTTCTCTTTCCGAAGAATATTACTGTTGTAGCCTAAAGTCTGCACAGGTTGTCGGGGACACGATATCCCGGCGTGAACACAACTTTAACTGACGGATCCGCTCCTGACAGTCGCACGCGCCGCGCTGCGGCGCGTGCGACGGTCTTTGTTTGAAGTAAAAAGTCGAATCAGAGCGCCGTCGGCGTTGTCCCCCGATTTTCTCCCCCGGACCGCCCGTCCGGCACCGCTCCGGGACGCACGCCGGCGAAGCACCATCACGCTGCTGTACGGCCCCGGCATCGCCTTCCAAGGCTTAGCTGACTGAGATATATTGTGCACATGGTTGGTCTCTACAATATATACACTGACACTTCACCTCCCAGAGCTCGTCCCGGTCCGCCACGGCGCGGTGCGGCGGCGTCACAAATCCGAACGCAGAGCACCGGGACGCGGTCGGGCGATCTAAGGCCCAGTGAGGCGTATGCATTGCCCATCCAGGGCTATCACCTGGACCTATCAACAGGCGCCTGCGGCGCCGTGCTCAGGAGCTGCTACTCCAACCTGTTCACACTTTCGTACGGCAAGACAAAGAGATGCCCGTCTCCTTCGACCAGGACTCGCCTTCGTTTCGCAACGCCGTCGACGCGCTGTTCGACACGGTCAAGTCAATCCAGTCTGCGGCCGACCGGCTCGCCAAAGCAGAGAGCCGAGACTCTGCCGCTTCGCTCAAGCGGGCGGAGGCTGGCGCCGCGTTTGCGGACGAGTTCCTCGCAGTCGGGCAATCGTCGCTGGGAAGCGGTCCTTCGGAGGACGGGGCGCAGTCGCTGCCGCACGTCTGTTCCGACGTCGCCGCAGGGCTACGCGACGCGTATGCCGCCGGGACGAGCGAGGCGGTTGCCACGCGGGCCGGCGCTGTGAGCAGCCGGGCCGAGGCGGACGCGCGGCGGTGCAAGCTGGCGCGGATGCGCTTCCGCGAGTGCGACGAGGGCTGGGTCGCTTCGCTCCGCAAGTCTCACGCGGTGCGCGTCGAGAACGACGAGTCGGTGCAGCGCGCAGACCTCAACCTCAGCGCGACGCGGCTTGCTTTCGAGACGAGCCGGTTCGAGCTGTGCGCGGCGCTCAACGAGACGGAGGCGGCCAAGCAGCTCGAGCTGCTCGAGATCGCCTCTGCGACCGTGGCGGAGCACCTCGCCTTCTTTGAGGCTGGCGCGGCGCGGCTGCGGCTGCTTGCCGCCAAGGCGGAGGAGTGGACGCCGGCGATCGAGCAGAAGCGGCTGGAGCTGGCGGAAGCGCAGCAGCGCAACGCGGAGTGCCGCGCCCACCTCTCGGACCTCTCCTCCCGCAGCCGCTCCTCCGAGCCCGATGCGAGCCAGCCGGCGCCACCTCCGAACCCTCCTCCCGCGCGGGCAGAGGCGGGCCTCGGCGGCGGCGGCGGCAGCAGCGGCGGCGGGGCGGCCCACCGGAAGGAGGGCTACCTCTTCAAAAAGTCTTCTCGCGCCGGCCGCTCGCGCACTGCCTCGCTCGCCGGCCAGGAGACTCCTCTAACCCTGACCCTGACCCTGACCCTGTGACCCTATGACCCTAACCGCCTCGCTCGCTGGCCGGGAGACTCTCCGACGACCACCACAACCGCTGTGATTAGTATTGAGCGAGTGCTGTCCTTGGCTGGCTATAGGTGAGCAAGATCCCTCCAAACAGCCTCGGCGGCGGAGACGGCTGGAAGCGGCTCTGGTTTGTGCTCGAGGGCGGACAGCTCCACTACTACAAGCACGTCAAGCCGCACAAGCCGTCTGCGGCGCGGCCACGCGAGAGTCCCACCTCGCCCGGAGCCTTCTCGGAGCCATCTCGGCGCCTTCCCTCTAGGCGCGGCCCGGCGAGATGTCCGAGCGCGTGCTCCGCCCGCTCCTCCGCTCACCGCGGCTGGCGGTTCACTCCTGGCTGCTGCGAGCAGGCGCGTCATCAACTTGCTCATCTGTTCGGTGCACCCGCGCGCGCGCGAGAAGGGGAAGCGGTTCTGCTTCGAGGTTGTCTCGCCGTACAACTCGTACGCGCTGCAGGCCGAGTCCGAGGCGGCCAGTGGCGGGGGGGCGAGAGGGCGCGAGCCGCCGCCCCGCCGCACCGCGCTGTTGTGGACTAGGCGGACCGGACAGAGTGGGTGGAGGCGATTCGCGCCGCCATCGAGCACTCGATCTTCTCGCTCGAGGCGATGGGCACGCCTCCGACTTCTGCCGCGCCCCCCTGACGGCCTGAGCCCCCACCCCTCCCCCCTCCTCAGGGCCCCGTGCGACACCCGCCAACCGCCGCCGACGGCGGCGAGAGCGAGGCGCCCCCGGGACGCCTCCGCCGCGCCGCGAGCGACGAGGCGGTCGGCAGCTTAACAACCACCCCCCTCCCCTCCCCTCCCCTCCCCTCCCCTTCCCTCCACGGCCCCCTCTCCCCGGCCCCTCCTCACGCGGCCACCCTCGCGACACGTCCGCGACGCGTCCGCCACTGCCCCCGCCAGGCGGTGCGGCCGGCGCGGGCCCTGCTGCTCGGCAGCCGCGCCGACACCTCGGCGTGCGCCGACTGCGGCGACGACAGCGCGGACCCGACGTGGGCGGTGCTGCCATACGGGACGCTGGTCTGCATCGAGTGCTGCGGCATCCACCGCTCGCTCGGAGTGCACATCTCGAAGGTTCGCTCCGTCGCGCTCGACTCGTGGTGCGCCGCCGTCGCCTCGCGGGTGGCCGTCGAGGTCCTCACGGGAGCGCCTCTGCCCTCTCCCCCCCCCCCGCAGGTCGCCCGCCATGGCTGCGCTCCTGCCCGCGCTCGGCGGCGCCAACGAGCTGCTGCTCGCGCTTCCTCCCCCGAGCAGCCTCCCCCCGCCCACCGCCGCCTCGAGCCGCTCGGAGCGCGAGCGGTGGATCCGCGCAAAGTACGAGGAGCGCCGGTTCGTGGAGCGGCGCGAGGGGGACGCCCCCTCCGGCTCGGAGCTCTGCGCTGCTGCGGCGGCGGATGCGCCGCTCGCGCTGCTGCGCCTCCTGCTCGCCGCGGGCGACGTCGACGCGCCGGGCGGAGGGTGCACGCCGCTGCACGCGGCGGCGGCGGCCGGCGCGCCTCTGTGCTGCGAGCTGCTGCTGCTGTCGGGCGCCTCGCTTGAGTCGCGAGGGGAGCAGGGCCGCACCGCGCTGCACCACGCCGCCGCCGCCGGCGCGCGCGAGTGCGTCTCGCTCCTCCTGCGGCGGGGCGCGGACGCGAGCGCCGCGGACGAGGCGGGCGCGACGCCGCTGGCGCTGGCGCGCGCGGGCGGGGAGGCTGCGGCGGACAGGGCCCGGTTCGGTGGTGTCGAGAGTGAGCTGCAGCGGGTGGAGGCGTGCGACGCGGGAGGGTCGAGCGACGGCGGGCCGCCCTCGCGGCCCGTGTCGCGGCGGCCGAGTCAGGCGAGCGACGTGGAGGAGGGCGGCGGGGCAGACGAGCCGGACGGGTCGCCGGTGCCGGCGCCGGCGGGGCGGGCGGGCGGGGGCGGCAGCGGCAAGCCAACCCCAAAGGCGGCCAAGCGGTTCGACAAGCTGCTCCGCCCGAAGGTCCTGCGCCCCCGCGCCCTCTCCTCCTTCGCGGTCGCGGGCACGGCGTCGAACCCGACGTCGCCGCGCGCAGGCGCCCCGCCCCCCCTTGCCGCCCTCACCTCGGGCGAGCCCTCCCTCGCCCCCGCCGACGACCCTCCGCCGCAGCCGCTCTTTGGGCAGCACGCCTCCCCGGTCCGCCCAGACAACCTGCGCCGCCATCGCCACCGCCGCTCCCAGTCCGCTGGGCCAATCTCGTTCGCCCCCGGCACCGCCGCCCCCCTCGCTTCCACCGCGCTAGAGACCCATCCCGCCGGCGTGCCGCCAGCTACGGCCCGCTCGAGCAGCAGCGATGCCGTGTCCATCGCAAGCTTGTGAATGCCGGCTCCCGCCGCGCGTCAGGGCTCTGTGTAAGAGCTCCTTCCAACCCCGTGCGGGATCGCGCGCCGCTCGAAGACACACTTGGACTTGTGCTGCTAGCTTGAGCGGTGGATCTCGGCGGTGCGATGCATCCAGTGGGCTCCTGCTGGTCAGTGTTCTAGGCCGGCCGCGGCGGGTCGCTCTGTGTCCTTTTTCGTGACGGATTGGTCGGTCGGTCTCTGCTGTAAAGTAAGCTTGCAGGGGTGTGTGTGTGTGTGTGTGATGATTGTGTAAAAGTGTAATGGGCCGTGGGGCTCCCCGCTCTGGCCTCTGGAGAGCCTCTGCCACTGCGCCGTGTGGCCCGCGCCGGCCCGCCGCTCCGGGTCTCTTCGTCTGTCTGCGGTCGTCGCTCGCGGCAGCCTCTTCTCACTTCAAAGCCGTCCAGACCCCGTGTTCAGTCGTAACCTCTGCTATCTATCAAAGAAGAAAACGACGCGCGCACCTCAAGGTCTTACGAGCACCGTGCGGTCAGGGGACTTGTCAGGGGAGAGCGGCAGGCGCTCGCTGTCGTCACCGCCCGCCTCGCTGCGATAGGCAGCGAGCAGGAAGAGGACGCGTCCCGGCAGGAACGCGGCCAGGCCCCACACCGCGAGGTGTCCAAACGGCTTCACGAGGAGCGCGTCTGAGGTCAGCGCAATTGAGCCCAGCAGGAAGCAGGAGCTGCCAGCAAAGAGAGGCGCTGACCTCTGCCCCCCTCCTCCCCGCTCCCCAAGCCGCTCGTACGAGGAGGCAGGGTGGAGGGCGGTGGCGGATACCAGCAGCACGCTGCCCACCAAAAAGAGGGACGACCCGGCCGCGTTGCAGAAGTGCACCACGCCCGGAGCCCGCAACAGCCGCAAGCCAAAGTGAGCAGCAAATGAAAAGTAGCCACACGTGTACAGGGCTGTGCCGGCACAATAGGCACGGCTGGGCGGGCGGTGCGAAGTGCAGTACGCCGCAAGGTTGCCGACGTAGCACGCCACAAATAGTGCATTGCACGCGAGGTTGGTTGCCACGTTGACGAATGGATGACGCCAGACACCCGATTCTAGCAGAAGCGCGCTCGAGAGCTGCAAGGCTGTCATAGCCACAAATAGCCAGCTTGTCCACACGACGAAGGGCCGCGGTCGCGCCAGCTGGCTGCCACTCGCAGTCGCAACCCGCAACCAGCCGCTGCAGCCACGCAGCATATGGTTGGGGAGGAACGGAAAAGGGTAGGACGCAAAAGAATTCAACGAAAAGAACTCTCTCTCACAGCACAAAAGAATTTTACGACAAAACTCCCTCGCACAACACTGGGCACGGGACTGGCGCGCACTGGCACTAACACAGGTACACCACGCAAAAGAACCCCCCCCCCGCCCGCTCATTCAATTCACAGCCTCGTTATTGAGAAGAAAATACGTCCGACGGCGCTGTGCGCTGGTCTGTGAGAGGTTGAGGTGCGAGCCCTGGAGGCCCTGGGGATGGGGGGAGACTACCCGCGGGCCTAGAAGGCCCGCGCCTGAGGGAGGGTGTAGAGGATGTAGAGTGTAGAGCGCTGTAGAGCTGTAGAGATGTAGAGCGCTGGAGAGCGCTGTAGAGCTCTACATCCGCCGCGTGACGATGTGAGTCGCCTGTAGAGCGATGCAGAGGCGCTCTACAACGTGAAATCTCTACAACAAACTCTTACATCATCGCTTCCGAGCTCTCACGCCGCGCGTAGGGCCCTTAGGGGCCTAGAGAACAAAAGCCCTCTCTCTTTTCTCCCAGTAAGCTAAAAGTACGTACATCATAAGCGGCGAACGAGGCACGGTCGCTCTCCGACATGAGGCGCGTTGCACTTGCCAGTGCTGCCCTGGCCTTCTGTCTGCCCGCCCAATGAGTGAACGAACAGCTCTGGCGCTAAGCCGAGCGTGAGATACTGCTCGCGCGCGGTTATCGGGGTCAACGCACAACGCACACTCACGCTCCTGGTTGTGGGGAGGGAGGGAGGGAGGGGCAGGTTGCTCACGTCACACGTGCACTGGGTGGCCGGGCACATGAGCGTGAAGGCGAGTCCTGTCGGGGTCTATGTCGGGGTCTAGCCTCCTCACTGGCATGCTCCACTGGACACACTGCTCTTCTCGCTCGCTTTGCTGATATGCACAATACCACGCACGTATGCTGCGCGCTCGCCGCGGCTCTCGTTCTACGCACTACGGAAAAGCAACGCGGCACTGCGTGGCTCCACACAAACCCCGCTTATCTCCCCGCCGCGATCGAGCGGCTCGAGCCCCGAGATGAGAGCGGGCGGTGAGACCGAGGCGAGCGCCACCCGCGACCGAGACGCAAAACACTAAAAACACAGACATGGACCCCCCCTTGCAAAACCCCCTCCCCCCCCGACGGCCCTGACCAGAGCCCCGCCCGACCCCGAGCGAGTGCGAGAGCCCCAAGACCGACAGCGCGTCACCCCCCCCCCCCCCCCGACAGTCGAGACAGTGTAAAAACTAAAATTCAAAAAAAGAGATTAGCTATAACCTTATAACATGCAAGAGAAAAAGAAAAAGAGAGGAATAACGCGCAGAGAGAGGGAGAGAGTTCGAGAGAGACACTTTGCCAACACAAGTGACGCGGCCCGGCGGCACGCGTGTGACACAACAGAGAATCAAAACTGACTACCTGTACCTGTATGTACAGTACTGAGCGACGGAAACCATCAACCCCAGGCGCAAGCATGGGCGCAAGGCGGGGGGCTGTGAGGAGACTCTTCTGAACTCATGTGTCTGAGGCCTGTTCCCGCGCAGCCTCGCCCCCCCCTCTCCGAAGCACGCCGACGGAGTGCCCAGGGGGTGGAGGCCCCGCCGCCGCCCCCCCAGAGCCGGCCTCGGGCGCGTCCGCTTCCCCGACCAGCCTCTCCAGCGAGGGCTGCTCCTCCCCGTTGGGCGGCGAGCCGTCTGGCGGCGATCCCTCCGGCACCGAGCCGTCCAGCGGGGGCAGCTCCGGCGCCCACGGCGCGAGCGAGGAGGGCAGCAGCCGCTGCGCCGCGGAGAGGAGGTTGCGCGCCCGCGAGGAGCGCCACGAGTACTCTGCCGCCGGGTCGATCTGCGGCACCGCCTCCTCGTCCACCTGCCGGGGCGCGTCACGGGAGGGTGTGACGGGGCGGCCAGGGAGAGGTCGGGGCGCGGCGCCTCCCGCCTCGACGATGGTCTGGTCGGCGGCCATGAGCGGGTGCGTGTACTGCACGAGCGAGCGCGACGAGACGCGGTGCTTGAGCCCGAGCGGCCCCAGCCCGCCCGGCTTGCGGGTCTGCGACTTTCGCGCGAGGGTGAGCAAGCGCGGCGGCAGCTGCAGCCGCCCGTTCTGCAGGGGCCGGTTCGAGAGCGAGACGAGGAGGAGCACGCCCTTGAGGATGGCGGCGGTGGCGCAGAGCGTGCCGAGGCCGACGCCAAACAGGAGCGCCACCGACGAGCTCGCGCCGTGCGGGCGCGGCAGCGAGTTGTACCAGGGCAGGTCCGACGAGCCGTCCATCGGCCCGCCTCGCCGCCCGCCGCCGTCGGCGCGGCACACGTTGTAGAGCCGCGTCGGCAGGGTGGTCGCGTTGGGCGGGAGCCAGCCGCGCGCGTGCGAGTGTCCCCACGACCAGTGGGGCTGCAGCTCCGCCTTGAAGTTCATGAAGAACCAGCCGACCGCCGAGTCGAAGGAGGTGAGGTAGGCGGCGGCGGCGCGCGCCTGGGTCGCGGGGGCGCCGTCGCGGATGAGCTGCGACTCGACAGAGTGGGGGCGGCTGTGGCGGCGTGGTGTCCGTGCCTGGTAGTCGTCCTCGTCCGCCCACCCCTTGCTGAGCGGGCAGAGGCCCTGGCGCGGCGCCGAGACGACGCCCGAACCGAACGGGGCGGGCGGGTCCGCGTCGGCCGGCGGGCCTGCGATGCCCGACACGTACGGCTGCGGGCAAGGCGCGGCGCCGCACTCCACCTTGGGGTAGCCGGGCGCCTGCGGGGTCCGGGGAGGGTGGGGGAGGGGCGCGCGGTGGCGCCTCGGCTGCGCGTGCCGCGCGCATTGTCGTGGAAGCCGTTGAGCCACATGGCGCAATTGTCGGTGGCGAGGGACCACTCGCCTACCTCGCGGCAGCGGAGGCGTGAAGCGGCGCCGCTCGCTGCCCGGTCGTCCGCGCGGAGGGCTCGCCGACGAGCAGAGGCAGGGCCGAGTCCTGCAGCGAGCGGATCCGATCTCTCCACGAGCAGATGTTGTCGAGGAAGGCGGACTGCGGCCGGATGTCGAACCACGCCTGCGAGGCGAGGGGGCCGGGCGGGGTCCCGGGGGAGGGGGCCTGGGGAGGCCGGCCCCGCGGAGCAGGAGCCGCGGCACGCCTGGTACACGTGCGTGTCGAGCGCGACGCCGTCGCAGCCGCGCATGTAGCCGCGCCTTCGGGGGGGGGGGGGGGTCCACCACTGTGGGGGAGGGCGGCAGGCAACGGCAGGCGCGCGAGAGGGGCCGCGGCTGCATCCGCAAGTCACGAGCTGAGGAGGAGGTCTCACTTCTGCCCTCGGGCCGCGGGAGTGGCACGCGCCACTCGTCGACCCGAAACGAGTCGTGGATGACGTACAGCCAGTGCGGCGCCGCGGCGCGCACCGCCCAATACCCCTCCCAGTAGAAGGCGCGCAACACGTCGAGCGGCGTGTACTGCCACGGCTCGTTGAGCGCCTAGGGCCCCGGAAGGCGCAGGGATGGGATGGGTGCCACCGCTCCGCCTTGACTCGTCTACCTCCCGGCTGCCTCTCGGCTGCCTCTCGGCTACATCTGGCGCCTCGACGCCGATGACGGGCGACAGGTTGCGCAGCGACGTGGCGATCGCCTCTAGCACCTGCACCGTGGCCCGGATCGACGACCAGGAGATGTCCGTGTAGACCTGGGGCGGGCGGGGCGGGGCGGGTGGGGGGGGGCGGGGCCCGGCTCTTCGATAGGGCCCGGGAGGAGAGGGGGGAGGTGAGAGGGGGGAGGGGCACGGGGCGGGAGCGGGCTGGCGAAGGGGTTGTGTCGGGTGCGGCCCAAGAAGTTGGGGGGGAGGGGCCCTGCCCGGCTGCCCCTCGACGGACCCTCTACCCGAGCGCGCCATTTGCAGCGGGTCGAAGGAGCCCTGCCAGCCGGCGGACCGGTGCGGCCTACGAGGAGGCAGTGGTCGGACACGAGTCACTCGCAGCTGGGTCTGCCGCGGCTCTCTCGCGGCTCTCTCGCGGCTCTCTCACAGCTCTCTCGCGGCTGTCGAGCTGCGACTCGAGGCTACGGCCGGCCCCGCGTCCGACGGCGCGTGCCGAGAGCGGGAGAAGTATCGGCTTCGGCTGCGTCTCGGCTGCGTCTCGGCTAGGTCTCGGCTAGGTCTCGGCTGCCAGTGCTCAAAGTGCGAGTCGTCGGTCCACGTGACGTTTTGCGTGTGGCCAGAGTTGTCGAAGCCGTTCTGCGAGCCGCGCACGCCGTGCAGGTCGATGAGGACCTGCCTCGCACCCCACGACGCGCGTGAGTGAAGCTTCTCGCGCCCTCGCGGCGCCTTTGCCGCCGCGTGGCGGAGAGAGGTGCCTCCCCCCTTGCCGCACCTCTCTCTCCTCGCCGCCGCCTCCTCTCTCCTCTCCTCTCACGCCGCCACCGCTCTCCGCCGCCTCCCGCGCGCGCGTCGGCGGCACGCGAGAGCCGCGAGAGCGCCGGCCGCGCGTGCTAGGCGTGCCCGCTGCAGGCTCTAAAGCGCGCGCCTGCAGCCCCACCCTCTTGCAGAGGTGTATCACCCGCCACAGCTCGTCGATCGCGCCGTCGGTGCAGCCGACGTAGGGCTCGTAGGGCTCCCACATCCAGTCGCCGACGGGGATCCGCAGCGTGTTGATCCCCTGGCTCGCCAGCCGCGCCAGGTCCCGCTCCGTCACCCACGCCCGCCAGTGCTGCCGCAGCTGCCGATTCGCCTCGCTCGGGCCAAGCACGCGGCAGAAGCCGTGCATGTCGAAGGCGGTGGCGCCGCGCCCCTTGCCCTCGAACTGGTAGAAGAGGCTCGGCGTGACCCATGGCTGCAGGACGAGCCAGCCGTGTAGGTTCACCCCGCGCAGCTGCATGCCGAGCACCGACGAGGAGCCCGCGCGGTCGTCCTTCTCGTCGCGGCTGCAGCTGTACTCGGCGAGCTTGGGCAGCGGGTTCGAGAGCCGCCGCTTTCTGGAGCTGCTCATGCGGCCCGGCGGTAATGCGCAACCAGCGACACGTGGGTTCAATCAGCTACAGTGCGTACCGAGCAAGATAGCGATTCAAGCTTCAGTCGGGTTGGTGGCTCTCGAGGTTCTCGAGGTTCTCGAGGTGGATATCCTTTGGCCGCGTTGGGTAGCGAGGATTGGCGTGACGCGATCCACGCAGGCGTGGTTTCTGACGGCCGACCGTCAGTGCACGGAGTTGCCCCTTCTCCGACTGCCCCGGCTAGTTCATTCACGAGTGGTTTCGCGGGCGGGCGTGACCCCATGCGTCAAACCCGAGACCTAGCGCGGGTGGGTTGGAGGGGGGCTCGCTGCAGGGAAGGAAGGGCTGTGTAAGAAGCCGATCCCCGTAGTCTGCCCCGCTCCTCCCCATCGGGCCGCGTGAGCGGCCACGCCTCGCAGATTCGTTTCTCGCGCCTGAGTCAGGCGCGCGGGGCATCCCCCGGGTCGCTCGACCAGCGATCCGAAGAGTGGCCGCTATGTGAGAAGGAAAGAGCGGGGCCCTCGGGGTACGCCTCGTCCGGCCCCCTCCGAGGGGGGGAGGGAATTGCGGGGTCCCCACGGGCGCCTCAGTTCGGCCCTCCCGAGGGGGGGAGGGGAGCAAGGGGGTGGGGGGATCGGGGCGGGGGGGAGGGGTCTCGGGTTTCGTGTGGCTAATACTTGCTTTTCGGGGAGGGGCCTCGCGGCGTAGGCGCGCAAGCACGCCCGCCCTCTTCCCCTCCTCCCTCGAGGCAGCGAGTAGGCAGCGAGAGGTCAGGAGGTCTCGAGCGCCTATATGAAGGTATGTGAGATGTTGATGGGAATGGGTGGGCGGGCGGGCGGGCGGGCGGGCGGGCGGGCGGGCAAGCGGGGAGAGGCGGGCGGGCGGGGCGGGGCGGGCGGCCGGGGTGATCGGAGAAATCGTAGCCACAATCAGCCGCAGCGGAGCAGCAGCAGCAGCAGCAGCAACAGCAAGGGAGGCGTGTGTGCATGTGTGCCGCAGATTGCTGCCGTTGTCTGCGCCGCGATCCGCCGCCGCGCCGCCGCGCCGCCGCCGCTTGCGCTCGCCGCCGCCTCGCAGACGACTCCTCTCGCGCTCGGAGAGCCGCGCAGCGGGCCGCGAGGTTGTGGCCAGAGAGCAGCAGGGTTGAGATCACAAAATCGGCCAATTTTGATGCTTGAGGATCGTTCGGTCTCGCCACGCTCACCGGATCTAAGAATTTTCTCACAGAGAAGGGCGGGCAGCGCGCCCGCACCCTGAGACAGCCAGTTGAGCGCCGCCCGATGGACATAACAAACACGCTATTACAGGATCGAGGTGCACGCTGCTGAAGCAGTGTCGTTCCCCCTCTCCATCGTCTCACTGGGAGACATCGGCGGTGTGATGGCGGTGTGACCGATCGAGCTACAAGAGGAGCTTGTTCAGCAGGATCCAGGATAGTCTTTCCTGGTCGTAGATCATCTCCTCCCGAGTCGCGGGATCCGGGAGGATGTGCTCAGCAAAGCCAAAGGTATGGGATGAAGGAAGTATGTGTCAGTCAGTGCGAGGGGTGTACGAACGAACCCACGGCTACGCTAGGGTACGAACTGCAGAGCGTTGTGTTTTGCCTTTGAACAAAAAGAAAGAAAGAAAACAGACAACCCAAAGGCAGGGATGGGAGGACGGCACGCCGCCACCACACAGGGATTTTGAGGAGAGGAGTGTGGTGCTAGCCGTCGCCCACCCTAACCCTTGGTGGTCTGCCTCTTTCTATCTCCCTTCGCAGTCCCTCGCCGATTCTCGCTGCAACCTTCATGCCACCTCGCGGTCGTCTCGCCCATATTTTTTTTCACGCTGCGGTTGAGAGAACCTTTCAGGACACTCATTGATTCCACTGTGTCGGCTCACTCTTTGGTGCGTGCCTCCGAGACATTTCCGAGACATTTCCGACAGACACGTGTCCACTGTCCATGCCGTACTCATGCCGTGCGCCGCCGCAGCAGCCTGGCGACGTCTCCCCTCTCGACCAAGTGCATGTTAGTACTCGTTCGCCCCCGACCAGCACGAGACGTGGATGGCGCCGTCGCCGCGAATCTCAGTCACCACAATCTCCCACCATGCTTCGCCCTTCCAAAAGAACTCAAGCTCACTCCCCACCCCCAGATCCTTCTCCGCGAGCGGCGCCACCTCAGGCACCGGGCGCAAGCGACGCTTCGCGACGGTGTCGGTTTCCGTGCCGTTGTAGGAGTAGACGACCGTGGCCGACTGCTTGGGCGGAGGGGCGATCTCCCGAATCTTCGCCGGCCACCACGAGCCCTTGTAGCCGCAGTCGCCCTGAACCTCCACAAGCTGGCCCTCCGCCCACTGCGGCTTGGCGCGCTTGCCGCCGCCCGACCCGCCTCCGGCGGCCTTGCGCTTGCCGACGCCACCGCCGCCCTCGGCGGCCTTGGACTGGCGGTGCATCGAGATGTAGTTGGAAGCGACGAGGCTCCACCATTGATGGCCTTGCGCTTTTTCGACCTATCACCCGCGAGCCCTCGCAGGCACTCTCTGCGCTCGTCGTCGTTGCGAAGCTCGAGGCGGTTGCGGATGGACGACACGTAGTCCAAAAATTCCGAATCTTGCTTCACGAGCCGCGCGAGTGTCATTGGAACGTCAACGCTGAGCTCCTCGGCGATGTCGAGGATGGCGTGGAGGTCGGTGGTAAAGTCGGAAATGAAGAGGCGCGCTGCCAGGCCGTTGCACATCAAGGCCGGCAGCTGGTCGACCCCGCCCGCCCTCCTAGCAACCTTGAACGCCGCCTCGGTGAAGCCGGGCTTGAGGAGGTTGGCGGCGAGGCTGTCGCACATCATCTGTGGCAACGTGTGGATCCCGCCCGCCTTCTTGGCGAGATCGAGCGCCGCGTCGGCGAAGCCGGGCTTGAGGAGGTTGGCGGCGAGGCCGTCGCACATCATCCGTGGCAACGTGTGGAGCCCGCCCGCCTTCTCGGCGAGATCAAGCGCCGCGTCGGCGAAGCCGGGCTTGAGGAGGTTGGAGGCGAGAGAGTTGCACATGTGACATGAGCTTTGGCAGCGTCTCGAGCCCGCCCGCCTCCTCGGCGAGCTCGAGCACCGAATCGAGGAGGGGGTCGAGGAGGTGGGAGGGCGACTCCATTGGGGATGCCTGAGGCCACCCCAAGCACTCCCCAAGCCTTACGTGGACGAATTCAACCCTACTTTTTGTCGTCTACCCACATTAGGAACTTCGTGCTCATGTCAACGCCACGCCAGCGTTAGCCCATTCAACCCCGCCCCCATTGGTCCCTTCAAGGCCCGGATATTTTTTTAAACGCTGCGGTTGCCACATCCCCATATTCTCGAGCCCGCTCTTTGGCGTCTGCAGACAGCACAAGCAAAGAGTTAGCCCGCGCGTCTTGGCGTGTCTGCAAAAAGCCCAATGAGACGCAGCACCCTCCTCCTGACGCTCCTCGGCGCCCTCGCCGACGCTCAGCGCGGCTACAACAGCTACGACGAGGTGCGGCAGACCCTCTCCTCTGCAGACCTCTCCTCCACTGATCCATCGACGAGACGACCTGCCTTTTCACCGCCGCCCCTCCTGCCGCCGCGTCCCAGATGGCGCAGGCGCAGATGATGTACAGGCAACAGCAGGAGCAGGCCGCGAAGGCGGCGCAGGCGCAGCGGCAGCGCGAGCTGCAGGCGCAGCAGCAGGCCGCCCTGCTGCAGCAGGCGCGGCAGCAGGCGCTGTACGAGCAGCATCTGCGCGCCGATGTGCGCGAGCCCAGTCGTCTCGCTTGCCCGTCGCCCGAACCCTCACCAGCTCACTGCGCACTCCCCGGCCCACCCGCTGCTGCAGCAGCAAAACAGGGCGGGCAGCTTTCCTTCGACGCCGCAGAATTCGAAGAAGCCGCGGATGAGTGCCAAGGAGAAGAAGGCGCACGAAAAGCGGCAGAAGGAGCTAGACGCGCAGAAGAAGAAGCAGCTCAAGGAGCTAGACAAGCGGCGGAAGCTGGCGCGAGACGCTCGGCCACACCCGTCACTCTCTCTCGCCCTCCCTCTCGCCATCCCACGCCCCGCCCTGCGGCTGCCCCTCTCTGCAGGCGGTGAAGGCGGCCGGACGCAGCCGGGGCGGCGAGCGGGGCCTGCTGGGGAGGGTCTTTTCGCTCAAGGGCCTGGTGCTGCTTGGCGGGGTCGGGTACCTCTACGTGGCGCAGCGACAGCTGCTCGCCGCCCTCGTCCTCAAGCCCGTCGCGCTGCTCGTCAAGGCGCCGCCGCCCCCCCCGCCTCTCGCCCCGGCCGGCTGCTGCGCGCCCGCCGCGCCGCGCCGCCTCGATCCTTCGCCCTTCTCTGGCCTGCGCCCTCGACCCACGCCCGAGTGCGGCCTGCCCCTCCCACGCCCAGGCCGTGTGGGCCGTCGCCATCAAGCCGATCCTCCGCAAGTTCATCTCCCGCCCTGGCGGCGCGTACAGCGGCGGCGGCGGCGAGCTCCCGGGCGGCTACTGAAGCAGGGCCCGCTGCTGGCATGGACGCTGATGTGAGGATCTCTCATGAGGGCGGGGCTTCAGGCGGCGCGGGCGGAACGCTGCGATTGCCCGATTCCGGAGAGTCTCGTGAATCTCGAAGGCAGGGCCCGAGTCGTCGTAACGAATCATACGTCAGGAAGCGGCCCGCGACTGCGAGAGCTGTCAGCTGAGAGCTGACCCACACGCGGCTTTCCCTAAGTAGAGCCGTAAGTCAAGGAAGGGATGCGATCTCGGTCTACCGAGACATTCTTCTCATGTGATTTAAGTGAATTCTTGGCTGACCCGCGTTGTGCGTACTGCGACGTGCGACACATGTGCCATATACACTCATACCTTTACTTACTCGCGAGCGTATTTCCCTATTCGTTTTCCTCAGCTCAATCAAAACGGACAACCCTGAGCCCTGGCCTCGACACCTCGACACCAAACCTCGACACCAACTCGACACCAACTCGACACCTCGACACCCCATGCCAACTCGACCAACTCGACACCCCTCGACACCCCTCGACACCCCTCGACACCCCTCGACACCATCTAGGCTGAAACCATGCTCGACCGTGTCAAGGTGCCAAACTCGACACCTCGATACCCCTCGACACCCCTCGACACCGCTCGACACCCCTCGACACCGCTCGACACCGCTCGACACCGCTCGACACCTCTGATGATCCTAACACAGCAGAGATGTAGACCCATTGGAGTCAGAGTTAGAAATCAGGGTTGCAGCAGCAATCAAACTTGGCTGGCAGTACTTTCATCCCTGAGTTGCAGCCTCTCAAGTTCTAGCTCAAGTTGCAGCTCAGTTGCACCCCTGTTGATGCAGCAAACATGGCAGTACTCAGGTAGCCCTCAGGTGCTGCACAGCACCTTGTACAGTGGCAATGAATCCTCACACCAGTGAGCTTGTGCCATGAGTGCAGACCTGTGGTCCATTGCGCTTTGTGCACTGGCGACGCTTGGCTGCAACGGCGACGCTGCAGCGGCGGCGACGCTGCTGCGATGGGGTACTGGCAGCCCTTAGCTGCTGGACAGCACCTTGTGCAGTGGCAATGTCCACTGACTCATGGCACCAGCCTTGTGCCATGAGCGCTGTGGTCAGTTGCGCTTTGTGCGCCGGTGGCGCTGCAGGGGCGACGCTGCTGCAGCGGCGACGCTGCTACGGTGCTGCGCCTGCACAGTACCTTTGTGCACAGTGGCAATGACTCCCGGCACTTGATGTCCTCAAATGTCCACAGAGAGTATACTGGTTGTGCTCAGGTTGTGCTACATCAACAGGGTGCAACTGAGGCTGCAACTAAGGGATGAAACAGCTTTGCAACTGCTGCCCAAGTTTTGTTGATGGGCTGCAACTGCATCCTGCCACCTTGGACACCTCGACACCTTAGACGCAAAACCCCTTGACAACACTCGACACCTGCTCGACACCCTCGACACCCTCGACACCCTCGACACCCCTCGACACCCCTCGACACGGTCAAGCATGGTTTCAGCCTCGACAGGCCTCAACAGGCCTCGACAGGCCTCGACAGGCCTCGACAGGCCTCGACAGGCCTCGACAGGCCTCGACAGGCCTCGACAGGCCTCGACAGGCCTCGACACCTCTATCCCTCGACAGCAGCTCGACAGCAGCTCGACACCCTCGACACCGGGCCTCGACACCTCGACACCAGGGCTCAGGGACAACCTTCAAGTGTTTCAACCTCTTATATCTCTGGTATCTCAATCTCTGGGGGGAGGCGGGGCCCCTAGGGGGTACCCATGCGGGGGGGAGATGGAGTCCCCCAGCCCGCCGCAGGCGCCGATCTTTGAGTATTTTTTGCGCGATTTTTCACTTGTTTTCATGGGAATTCGGCGCGTACTTGCGGCCATGCTATCACGCTTTGCGACATCCTTTCGGCGCTGCTGCGGGCAGGTCGTGGATTCCTTCCTCTCAACCCTGCTCCCACAGCTCATGCTTCTCGCCGTGGGCTCACTTCTCGCCCAGGGCCTGCGCCGCGACGGCTCCTTTGCGGTGGCCATATACACCCTGCTCGCCGGCTTCTCGCAGAAGGACTACCTCATCCTTGCCGACCAACTAGAGGCCGTCATCGCATTCGCCTTCCTGGGACCCACGCCAGTGCTGACTTCTGTGTTCTGACTGTCGTTGCTGTCTCTCCCTTCTCGACTGACTGTTTCTGCTTGTGCGTCTTGGGTCCGGGGTTGTGTTTTTCTGTGACAGCCTGAAACGTGAAAGGATTTTTTCGGAGCGACAGCCTCATCGCGCGCGCGTGAACAGGGCTCCAGGCCCCAAATGACGTGTGAGTGTTGGAATTGTTTGGTATTGCTAAAAGTAAAAAGGATGAACCACACGCTGCGACACACACACCCTGCGCACTTTCGCGTCGTCAGACATCACCTCTCGATGCGGACGCGCGAGCAAAGTGAGAAAACAAAGAGCCCTCTGGAGGTCGAGATCGAAAGAAAGAAAAGACGGAAAAAGAAAAGAAAGAAAGAAAACACACAACCCAAGGGAGGGAAACGGACAACCCAAGTGGCACGGGAAATTCTTCTATTATCCGCGAGCTTGGAGCAGAGCCCCGGCTGTGCTGTCACGTCGCTGGAGCGCAAGCGACAAATGGCGGACGCCGAGGAGATCGATCCGGAAATGGACGAGGAGGTCGTCGATGGCGAGGCTGAAGAGGGTGGCGCCGAAGGTGCCGCGAAGAAGAAGAAGAAGGCGCGCCGCTTCGTGCTCCAACGTATCCCGCCGCAACCCTCACCGCCCGCTCCCTGTTCTCTCAGAAGAAGAAGAAGAAGGGGCCGGCCGCCGCCGAGGGCGTGGAGGCGGATGCTGGCAGTGGCGCGGCGGCAAACGAGGCTGCGGCCGAGGGAGGAGAGGGCGTCGGAGGTGGCAGCACTGACACTGGCGGCGGCAAGTCGGCCAGCCAGATCAAGCGCGAGAAGCAAAAGGCGGCGGCGGCGCGCAAAAAGGCGGCGGCCGCTGAGGCGGGCGGCGCCGAGGCGGCCGCGCAGAAGGAGGCTGAGCTCGCTGCGGCAGCGGCGGCGCTGTCGTGGTCGACCGAGATGCGGGGCATCGGCCGGTGGACGAGCTTCCCGGCGCAGGGCGAGGGAGGGACGGCGCAGGCGCGCGCGCCCCGCCCCGCCCGCTTACATTGGCGAGGAGGCGTAGAGAGTCCGGCTGCCCCCCTCCCGCGGGGTATCTTGTGAAGCACGAGCTGCCGCCGCCCGCAGACGTGGCCGCCGACGGTGCCGGTGGTGCGGATGTTCCCCGGGGGCGACGTGCCGCGCGGCGAGGAGGTTGAGTACACCGGTGATCAGCAGTACCGGACGACCAAAGCCGAGCTGCGCGAGCTCGAGAGGTGCGGCGGAGGGCGGAGGGCGGCGACACAGAGGGGAGGCTGTGCCCCACTGTACGCGGCTGTTGTGGAGGCAGCCGGGAGTTCACAGGTCGGGTGAATGAGCCCCCCCCCCCCCACCCACCAAGGCTGCACAACGTGCAGTACGACGAGCTGCGCATCGCTGCAGAGTGCCACCGGCAGGTCCGCAAGTACATGCAGAGCTACATCAAGCCCGGCATGCTCATGACCGACATTTGCGAGACGCTCGAAAACATGAACCGCGCGCTCGTGGAGGAGAACGGGCTGCGGGCGGCGACGCCTAGATGCGAGACACACACACTCCTGTGCTGCATGCGCGCTCGAGAAGTCACGCATTCAGCTGTATTGAACTGCATTGCACCCCCAGTTCGTCTCGAAGCACCGAAAGCGGTAAGCTCTCGGACCCGCGCCCTGACAGTCGTGTGCTCACACAGTGCTCTCACACTAGGCGGGGATCGCCTTCCCGACAGGGTGCTCGATCAACCACGTCGCCGCGCACTGGACGCCTAACTCGGGCGACAAGACCGTGCTGCAGCACGGCGACGTCTGCAAGATCGACTTTGGGACGCACGTCAACGGCCGGATCATCGACTCGGCCTGGACGGTCCACTTTGACCCGACGTTCGACCCGCTGGCGGCGGCGGTCAAGGAGGCGACGAACACGGGCATCGCGGCGGCCGGCATCGACGCGCGGCTGTGCGACATCGGCGCCGCCGTCCAGGAGGTGATGGAGTCGCACGAGGTTGAGATTGGCGGTAAGACCTTTCCGGTCAAGTGCATCCGCAACCTCAACGGGCCTCCGCCCGGGGCTGCTCGCCGACTCCTCGCGGCGACGCGCGCCCGACGCGTCGGTGGGCGGATGCTGTAGGCACTCGATCGGGCCGTACCAGATCCACGCAGGCAAGAGCGTCCCCATCGTCAAGGGAGGCGAGAGCACGCGCATGGAGGAGGGCGAGCTGTACGCCATCGAGACCTTTGGCTCGACCGGCAAGGGCTACGTGCGCGAGGACCTCGAGTGCTCACACTACATGAAGAACTTTGATGTGCGCCGCCCCGCCCGTCAACCCGCCTCCGCCGCCTCCGCTCCCGCCGCCTCTCCGCCCTCACAAGGCTACGCGGCGCTGCTCGCAGGTGGGGCACATCCCGCTGCGGCTGCCCAAGGCCAAGAGCCTGCTCTCCTTCATCAACAAGAACTTCGACACGCTCGCCTTCTGCCGCCGGTGGATCGACCGCGCCGGCGAGGAGAAGTACCTGCTCGCGCTGCGCAACTTGTGCGATGTTGGCATCGTACAGCCTTACCCGCCACTCTGCGACATCAAGGGGTGCTACACGGCTCAGTGCGCCGCCACGCCGCTCCCCACGCCGAGCTCGCACACACGCCGCCACCGCCCACGTGCCGCCCGGCCACGAACGTAGGTACGAGCACACGCTGATACTGAAGCCCACCGGGAAGGAGATCCTGTCGAGGGGAGACGACTACTAAATGGTTCTACAGGTCAACGGGGCAGGTCAGCCTCACACGCACGTCGACTAGTCCGCCAAATCTTTGCGTCTCTTCTCACTTCTGTGAGAATTTTCACGAGGCAGAGCTTGTCGTGAGAACTGCTGCTTATTTTACGCGTTCACTGCATACACACGATTAAACGAACCCCGTCAGTGCTTAGTGCTTTGATCTCATGACAATACGCGTTCGCGTAAAGGCTAGTGCCATTTCACTGTGGCACAGCTCGCGTTACAAAACCTTGATTTTGACCATTGCGCGAAAAAGGTACATCTCGGTGCCTTCCAGAGGCAGCTGCGACCCCGCT